GGCGATGACAAAAGAAAGGCGCGGGGGAAAAAAATCGAGCAGTGCTGACTAAATAAATACCCTTAAACTGTTTTTACAGCAGCGGCGTAGTACGACGTGAACTGTTTCATTCCCAGGTATCGTATCGTGGCGGCTTTCGTCCGAGCTGTTGGAACGTAGGGTCGCTACCTCTGCTCGCGCGCGCTCTCTCTCTCTCTCTTGGTTCAGCGGGAAATGATTGCGGCACGGCGGTTTCGACTCGAGCAATCGTAGCACGGCGGATTCCGTCCATGCCTCCATCAAAAAATAAACCCGTCGTCGGGCATCTCCTCTGCTGCCGATTCACAGAACGAGAGGTGTCACTTAAAGTTCCGGTTCTTGTTGCGCGTTTGCGCGTGGCCCTGCCCATAACCTCGGTGGCACTCCGGAGAAATTTTTTTTTCAGGACGTGGCTTTTTCAGAAGTTTCCTGTGGCGAAGGGAACAGGAGAACCGGTGGAACAAAAAATGTGTATTCCCAAGCGCCGTGGCCGTCATCCGGTTCACTGTGTGCTGTTACGGGCATCCGAGGCCTCTCCCCTCCATTGTGTTTTGATTGCGATTGCCGTTGAAGCAAAACAAAAGTAGTATCCCGTGGAATTGGGATGGCCCTGCAGAAGCCGATAAAGAACGCGGTTCGGAAATGAGCTGACGCTTTAACTTTTAAGAGAGCCGTTCGGAAATGTTTCTGAGCGAGCAACCTTGCCCGGGAGTTCACGGCCGTTGAGCAAAAATTAAGCTGCGATTGTGGAGTGCAGAAGTGAAAATTGCTTTTAAGTAAAGTGAAGTAACCCACTTTCTGCTGATTTCATTTTCTTGGGTCCTTTTATTCCATGGTGGGGGGGGGGGGGGTTGTTATGATTAAACCATTTTACTTAAACCGGTCTGATGTTGCTTTATTTAAAGCAACAAATACATTGCATCTGGAAAAATAAGCAAAATGTGCAATTTCATTTTATTAGAAAAAAATGTCATGTGCAAAAAACATTACTCCAAACAGTTTTTTTTACGAAATTAAATATATATTTTTAAATGATGGATTGAATTTCATGTACGCTTTTTTGGCAGCCTTAACAATACGTTTTTTTTCCTGCAAAAAATATTTGAAAATTAAATCAACAGCTGCTTTCGCATTAAATCCACATTCCATTTTCTGACGCAGTCACTTTCAGTAGGCGATTTATCGACGACTCGTGTTTTTGCATAAACATACTCAAGCAATGAAGTGACTCACACAAGCAGAATGAGCAGCAACGTTTGTATATATACACACACACATATTTATTTATATAAATATTTTATTCAAATATTTCAGCTCATTCTTTCGCAGATCTCCATAACAATAATAACAATTATTACGTCGCGTGCAGTTGAAGCAAACACGGTTTCGTTTACATCCCCATTCGGACGCGACGTGATTCAGAGGCCGCACGATTAGGAGAAGCCCATGGCCCAAAGATTGTCGCTGTTTAGCGTTAAAACGCTAGATCTTATTTTAATGCATCAATGCCGAGCGGATCGTATGAGTGCCCGGTTTATTAAAGGTTCAATCGGACCTGGTGGTGCTTTCGAGATACATTCCAGTATGATTGGCTGACAATTTACATGATTGGCCTTCTGGTCGTAAATTGTGGTAATTGCCGTGCGCTGTGATTTTCATCCACAGACTCTTTTTTTTGTGTGTGGAATATATGAGAGAGACCGTTATGGAATTCAGATGTGGTTTCCTGTTACCGAGGCCGCTCGTTAAAACTTTCACATTACAACCTATAGCTTTTCGCTCTATTTAATGCGGCTAATCATTATCTAAGAAAAAATATCTTCAAGATATATTATTATTATTAAACACACTTACGATCCATGCTCATTGTCGGTTTATTGCTGTGTGCATTCCCAATATCTCTGAAAGCTCGATGCCCAACCGAAGGGTTTCACCGTACTCTGATGTTTGCATTGTTGCTTGAGTTTGGCTGCTGTGCTATTGTTTTCCTGGCCGTGAACCAAAGGGGAAATGAAAGTGTAATGAGTCCCATACGCACGTGAGCGGGAAAGACGAAGTTTTTCATGCGATGGGTTACGAGGACCTTGTCTGCACGCGGTGGCGTCGTCAACTCGGCGGAGCGAGTGTCAACGTCATGCGGCAATCGATCATCTTTCGTTTGAGGAGCTTTATTTTCGCAATGAAAAAAAATGTTGGCTTCTACATGAGTAAATGCCTTCATTTTTTGGGCTTCAATACAAAAAAATCATATTGACACTCAAATTACAAGCGAAACTGGGATTTCATTTGAAACGATATTCGCTTTAGAACGGGGTTGTAATTAAGTGGAAAGAATAGCATCCATAGCATTCAATGAAGTTGAAAGTAATGAACATATTTTCTCGCAGAAACATTAATTGTAGCATTGTAAGTTAAAACCACATTTAACTGAAACACATTCATGTTTCTAAGCACATATTACAATATGGCTAGATTTTTTAAATGTATTCATGGCAATCATGAGAGCGCATCACATTCATGAAATATATTTTGCATGAAAGTGATACTTTACCAAATTGTGCATCAATGCCAACATCATTAAATATAGATGACAATACGCAGCATGGTGTCGTAGTGTTATACTATTTTGTGCGTCGCTTTATCAGAATTATAGCGCACACGAGAGACCACCCGCCGTGGAGACAGAGCAACGAAATCAGCTGGCATGTAGGTGCCACCTTGATTGTGGCATGGCTTTGGGAGGCCTCTGTGCAGCAGTGGATTGAACATGGCTGATGATGGTGAATAGATCTGGGTGATTCCTGCAGACATTATATTCCGTTTTCACAATTCCTCAATGGGTGAGTCCCATTGATGCTGAAGATGATGGTCGATATAATACTGATCATCGCAGTTATTGTGTTTGTTACCACTAAAGCCAAAGTTTCCATCGTAATTATTATCCTCATCATAAATAATTAGTGTTTTTTTAATTGAAATACAGCCATCGCCCAGAAAAAGCACGATCATACACCGTGGTATGTTTTATTTTTAAAACAAAGCTTTGCGGATTTTGCTTTTTTTAATCAGAGTTAATAAATCATTGCATGAAGTGTATGAATTGGAAATTGGCCTTGAGCCAGCCACACTTGTTTACACCAGCGAATGTAATGTCAGCCAATTTTAAATGCGCAAATATCAAGTTAAAATAGTCGAAAATATAAAACAATTTTTTATTTCACTAAATCGTTTAGCATACACTCACAGGGCTTAAATTCGCACTGACTATTTCTGAGTCGTTTGCAGACTGATCTAGGCAAGTTACTAGTCGTGGCCATGTCTACTTGGATGTGATATGCCGTGTGTGAAAATATTTATTGGGTCGCCGAGCCGGACAGATTCAGCTTAAATTGAAGCCGTGTACACTCGTGATGCCACGTGACATGCGTTTCGGGATGTAATTACATGTAAAGCACTTACATGCGACACGTGGGATTTGTCTTCAAAACATTACGTCGAATCACATCTTATTAACATTCACAAATGGATGCTTGCGACACAGCCTAATCGCGACATTCACACTCCGCATGATAATTCTCGACAACCGTTGGTCCAGAATCAGCATCATTACTGATGCCGGAGAAATCCGATGAGCCATAAAGCTCTTGTTCACAGATGGCCCAGTGGTCTCTCGTAGCTCGATGACGGGGAACTCATCACGCTCCCGTTCCGCAACGCAAGCCTTCGAAACGTCCAAGTCGGTACCCTTGCCAATCGGGATTTTTTTTATTATTTTGTATCGCGAATGTTTGCGAGAAATAGCCGCCGAGACCGAGTGCCGCAATGGAAAGCGACACCCCCCCTCCCCTCCCATTTCTCACAGATGAACTCACGCGCGCACAAACCGCCAGGCGTGCAAACTCCTCGCAGGGAACCCGGGCGAGTGTGCCTGGAAGAGATTGTTTATTTGATATTGGTCAGTAATCTGAACAGCACAGTGGGTGTTTGGCCAATACGGATACCACCCACTGTGATCCCCGGGTCAGCCAACACCGTGGGGACGTGGAAAGTTCAACAAAATGCCACTTTGAAGAATGTACGTGCAGGTGCATACATAGTCGAGATTAAGTTGACATACCACATATTTATTTTCCCTTTTAAACATTTTAACCTATCTTATTTTCACAATTGCTTGCACGAAACAATAAAATGATATTTTTTTTCCTCGACTCAAAATACAGGTAGAGCAATGAGGCACATGTATTGCATGTCGACACACATTATCTAGATCCAAATGTCTGCTCAATTTCTGATCCAGCAGTAAAGATTGAAATCCAGGCATGGGTGGAAATTGCTTGGCGTTTGACAGAGTGGATAACTATCTACTCAAGACTTGTGGCGCATTTTCAACGTGATAACGTTGCTCTTTTTTCCCCCCTCATCATTTTCCCTCTCGCGCTGGCCTCTTTGTGTGTAAAATGAGTTTGTTTTGTAAATACCGCGGTTCCCCCTCTCGGTCTCTCTATACATTGTTCTATGGATGGTTCTATCTGTAAGAGTGGCGGTGCAGTGGTTAGCGCACTGCACTACTAACCCAGCCGCCTGGGTTCGATTCCCGTCAGCGGCGAGTTGCATCAGAACTCATCCTAAGCATTTCCAAGGTCGACTTAGCCTTAAATGAGTACCTTCCGCGGTAGGTACACATCAGCGCTGGGGGAATCAAAGGCGGCCGTGCGTGGTGCTGGCTACACCGATCCCTTCCATGCTGATCGTGACCTTAATAGGTGCTCGCTAACAGGACTTGCCCGAACGAATTGTTAAAGCGTACATTGGGATATTTTAGTAAATGCGTCTATCGGCCTACTTACCTGCTTGCCTGTTTGCCTGTCCGTCCGTTCATTCATCCACCTCTAGGATTGTGCGCAGTTTTCCCTTCTGCTGTTTGCTTGGCACGGCGATCGACGTGCGCCTGCTCACTCGCCTGCTCGTCTTCCCATTTGCAGGCGCTGAAGAAGCCGAGACGCCGACCCAGAGTCACCCGGGCAGCCCCGCCGGGTGTGGCATCGCGCCTCTCACCCCGTCGATGCCCGCGGTGAGCTCAGCGATCTGCCAGCCTCGTCGCTGGCGGTGGCACTGGGTGGTCTTGTTTTGTTTTCACGCCCTGGATGAAGGGCGACAGTTTTGGGACGTAGTAATAATCGGGGGAGAACGTAAACTGCCGCAGTCAGTGCCCGCAGAAGCTCCCAGCACGTGCAGCAAAACGTCGGACATCACTCTGGACGACACGCGGCGTAACCGCAGGACAAACTGCGCAAAGCTACGCGGTAGCAACTGATGATCGCCGATGGCCACTAACAGAAGCCCGGGTTTGAATCTACCTCGAAAAAACTGGGCCACTTGGAATCGAATCTGCACGCCTCACGGCAGATCCACGCCTAGACCACTTTGATAATATCCGATTGTGTCACTGCAGAAACAACGACCAACACCATCGACCCCACAGCAGTGAGCCAAAGTGATATACATGCTCTATTCTTTGTAGGACTATTTATTCTCAACAATTTTTTTCAGGAGGGTCCTGTCAAGTTCTATTCGCAGTAGGGGAGTGATGATTCGAAGTGTAAAATCCCAATTGAGGAATGTGCGTGTCACTTTTCGGCATTGGGATGACTGGCCAATACTGACGTGAACACTGTGTGAGTCTGCGCGTCTCCAAGTGAGTCTATGGACTCTCTGTGTGAGTCTATGGATCTGCGTGTGTCAATCACCGTGCAAGCCCACGAACGAACTGGGCCACCGTGAGCTCAGAAAATCCAATGCAGGTCCGCGAAGCAATCGACCGCTCATCGACCGAAGCAATTTCCCGGCTAAACTCATCCGGACGTAGACTTTGTTATGATGCGTTGCTGTTCATCCACCCGTACGGAAGAGATTGGCGGTGGTGCAATTGGTGATGCTGCAAACCCCGCGGTGTGATTACACCCTGGGAGTGCCGGGTTTCTCTCCACTTTGCTTGCCGAGGACAATAACCTCGGAATGGGGGGGGGGGGTGAGTAAGTGGGGGAGGGGGTTGATGGCGGAGGTGGCGATGGGTCGGGCCGCGTCTTTCAGCCGCCGTGCACGGGCTGAGCTCATGGGGGTTGACGGTGCCGCACCGGGGGAGGGAATATTTGTCACTGCGATGTTTGCGGCGTGCTGGGAGACGTCAGCGACAGTCTCAATCTGTGACCTGAATGTCCCCTGGCGGCGGGACGCGAACGCGCGAGGATGCAACAGCAACGGCGTGCGAGGAAGCGCGCACACACAGGCACACAGTTACACACACGTACACACACGTACACACAGTTACACACGTACACACAGTTACACACGTATACACAGGCACACACAGGCACACACACACAGTTACACACACGTACACACAGTTACACACAGGCACACACACGTACACACACCGGCACACACAGGCACACACGCACGTACACACAGGCACACACGCACACACACACCGGCACACACGCACGTACACACCGGCACACACGCACGTACACACTGACACACACGCACGCATTGCACGGGCGCACACGCGGATACACGCACACACCCACACGCATGCACAGAACAACATTTACTTTCCGATAGATGCATTTGTTTCATCTTCACCGATTTGCACTGCCCGGGGGGGGGGAGAGTGGGGTGTGCGGGGGGGGGGTACGGTTGGGATGCGTTCATCCAATAGTGGATAGATCATTCCCACAATTGCTGCTGCTGATTGATGACGAGGAAATGCATTTATGTTGCTACGTCCTGATCCGTTCGTGCAATTACTAACCTTAAAACTATTCCGAACTAAGCGGTAAAATACAAACTTTTTCCGCTGTATATCCTTGTTTTGTGTCTTCTATCAGTGGTTAGTTGTGGGGGGGGGGGGGAGGGGGTGAGGATGAAATATTTATTCCCAATTCCATTCCATTTCCAGCCGGCTTACGCCTCACATCTGACAGAGATTATAACTTTGCCTATCCATCATCGCGAAATGCACGCAACAGGCACACCAGTTGAACACGGCAATCAACGCGAATTGCCTCGCCAATTGGTACCTGCCAGTTGGACGCCCGCGAATGTGTATAACCACCAATTACTGAGAATACATTGAAAACAGATTACCCTGACATTTGCAATGTATTGTTCCGTGCAATTTGCTGCATGCGCTGACAATAAAATGGCACTTAATGCTAGTGTTTGGCAATAACACGCAGGACATTTGCAACATCACTGTAATTCAGTGTTCTCGTACCTTGTATTAATTATGCGTGCTATACCCCCCCCCACCCCCCGCCCGCCTTTTTTAATTGTAGAAAATGGCTTTGTATAAACACAAAACACATGCAACGCGCGCGTAATCACGTTCTCGTCGTCTCTTCTCCGTCTGCGTAATGGATTCGCTCGTTGTTTTCCTTCCACTGCTCTTTCTCTCTCGCTCAGAAGGTGTCTGTCTGTCCGCTTGTCTGCCTCTGGTTGTCTTGTTACGCCTGTCGGTCTGCCTGCTTGACTTTCTACTTACCCATCTGTTTGTCTGCCTTTCTGTTTGCGTCTCTGTCTCTTTGCTCGTCCAATTGTCCGCCTGTCTCTCTGTTTCTGATCCGTCTTTCTGTTTAACTCCCTGCTCACCTGTCCCAAGTGTTCACTTGACTCGTCTCGCTCTCTCTTCCTGCCTGCTCACCTGTCCCAAGTGTTCACGTGACTCGTCGCTCTCTCTCTTCCTGCCTGCTCACCTGTCCCAAGTGTTCACGTGACTCGTCTCGCGCTCTTCCTGCCTGCTCACCTGTCCCAAGTGTTCACGTGACTCGTCTCGCTCTCTCTTCCTGCCTGCTCACCTGTCCCAAGTGTTCACGTGACTCGTCTCGCTCTCTCTTCCTGCCTGTTCACCTGTCCCAAGTGTTCACGTGACTCGTCTCGCTCTCTCTCTTCCTGCCTGTTCACCTGTCCCAAGTGTTCACGTGACTCGTCTCGCTCTCTCTCTCTCTTCCTGCCTGCTCACCTGCCCGCTTGTCTGCGCGCAGAAGCGCGGCGAAGAGCAGCCACCGGCTCGGGGCTTCTCGGTGGTGGTCGCCATCGACTTCGGGACGACCTCGAGTGGCTACGCCTACAGCTTCACGAGCGAGCCGTCCGCCATCCACATGATGAGGTCCCCAGACCGCGCTCGCCCCTCTCTTGCCGCCGGCGCGCGCGGGATGAGCATGGAGGCGCGCATCGATCCGAGCGATGCCGACGGGCGCTTTAATTCACGAGGAAACAACCGACCCTCTCGGCCGCCGACGCCGCTTTTCGCAATCACGGCCTCGAGCGAGCTAAAGCGTCTCTCGCATAAGATCCGGTTTCACCTCGAGCCCCTCTGCAAGGGCTTCTGTTGGCTCTCATCCATCCTCACTCCCGCGTGGGAGTGTACGTGTGTTGACGCGCGCTTTATTGGCGCATCGGGTCGCAGCACTGCCCTGTAAATCCTGCAGCCTAAGTTCAATTCTCGACGACAGCGAACATCGGTGATGAGGGATTTTTGAACCGGTCCTTGCACCCACCACCACCCCCCCGATCTCTTCCCACACCTCAACTTCACCTTCCCACATTGATCAGCATGGTGAGGTATGGTCAATCAATTCCCATGACTGCCCGAGCATGGGAGAGGGCTTCATCCAGCAGTAAATTATCAACGGGCTGTACGTTATTATCAGTTGTGTTGATGATAATTACCATTTGTTTTGTTGTCACAATTACAGCCGATGTTTTCACCAGCCACGGCTAACGTCAATTGCGAGTGATATCAGAAACTGTTCCGGTTCACCCCCTAGATCGGCTCGGCCTTAAACGAGTACCACCCGATGCAGTTTGTGAACATCAGCACCAGGGAGTCAAAGGCAGCTAGGCATGGTTCCTGCCACACCACCCTATCATTGGCCATGCTAGGCTTAATAGGCGCTCATGAAACAGTTCGAACGCAAAGGCTTTTGTTGCTGTTTGTTTCCATGGGAGATTCCCATATACACATTTCATTTTAATTGAATTTTAACAGCGTGCCATTCCCTGGCTCTCCATGAGAAGCCATTACAGCAAGTGGACTAATCGCCATATGTTGCTATCTGTACGGGGACAGAGTGTTGCCACTTTGTGCACGTGGGTTTTCTCTGAATGCTCCGGTTTTGCTCCCACGCGTAAAGTAAACTCTCATTAATTGTCAAAAAACGTCCTTCAAATAAAACAACAAGCCAATCACTTGCAGCAGGACCCTCCTGAGAAAGAGTCCGACAACTCACCGTTGCCCTCCTCGATAAATCGCAGATTTTCCGGTGATGTTTTGGATGTTTGAGCCACCGCATTGGCTGTTCTGGCGACGGGATGCCGTGCACGAGGCGCCGTCCCTGCCGGTGACCGTGTGACCGTCGCGTGGCGCACGTGTGACAACTCTGCAGGCGCTGGGAGGGTGGCGACCCGGGGGTCTCGAGCCAGAAGACGCCCACGGCGCTGCTGCTCACCCCGGACGGGCGCTTCCACAGCCTGGGCTTCTCCGCTCGCGACTTCTTCCACGACCTGGAGCCGAGCGAGGCGACGTCCTGGCTCTATTTCGACAAGTTCAAGATGAAGCTCCACGACATGAACGTAATGAGTGGGTCACTGGGGGGGCAGGGGTTCCGTGCTCATCGCACGTACGATAAGCACCGTTGGCTACGTACGGTGCAAAATAAGTTCAGCATACATACAGACAGGGGTCATTGTCTGGGCAACCGTGGTTGATCTGTGGGTCGGCGGTTGGAAAACTATCGATAGGGACACGTGGCAAAAATCTGCTGCGTAGGTTTTCGCGGTAGTGCTCTGAAGCTCTCTCTGAAGAGTCTTTCGGGCCATGCCGTGTGATGCTCCGCATCATTTCTGTTCACTCCACGCTCCTGCAGAAGCTTCCAGCACGTGGAGCGAAACGTCAGAGGTGTTGCCAAACAGCAAGCGGCGCAAGCTGCAAACAATCACTGGAGAGCCAGGTCACACGGTGGACTGGCAGGTCACATGGTGGACTGGCACGTCCACTCAATCGCTCGCCCCACCACACAGAAAATGACCTCCTCACTCCATCTACATAGGCCCTGCTCACTCCTTTGCCAGCCTAGGGCACTACTAAGGTTGCCCTCACCATTTTCCTGTATCATGAGCCAAGCTTGAAGCCAAAAAATGTGAAACTGGGACAATAATCCACATTTGACACAAATTCTTCGAGACACCATTTCTGAAACCGGGAACTCTGTTATGACCAAACTAGGTCGTTTGATAGCTTAAGTTAGTCGGGAAATTGTTAATAAGCATTCTGAGGCTCACGATACATGCATTGGAATCGATTATTTCGGATTTATGCAAAGTACATGCAAATTGTATAGTGTTCCTACAATCTGGCTCATGCAGCAAATAAAACTGTATAAACCGATTTGATTTCATGTAGAAAAGAATAGAAATCTTGACCACTTATTTAGTCAATTCCTTATGGAAAATACTGGTGATCCCCAGATCCAAACACAAATTCACCATTGAATAATATGCAAACCCTGTAAATATCCTGTTTAAGTTAATGTTTATATGGAAATCGCCCACGGAATAGGTACAATTCCTGACGGTATTGCACATAGTTGAATCATGGGATGTAAACATGGTTCGCGAAAAAAATCTCCCAGTTCTATTCATCATCCTCATCATCCTCATCATCCTCATTATCCTCATCAGCTGAGATGTAACTACTGCTGGAGCAGAGCATCACCAGTCTCTCGCCATCTCTTACGGCCTCTCAATCCGGAGCGTGTTTCACTCCTTTCACTGCCACTCCGTAGTTGGCCTCGAGCACCGGCCACCATCCCTCATGGGACGTTTCCTGTCCAAATAGTCACTTACTTTTGTTCACAGTCAATTGGTGGTGTCCCTGATTTGTATGCACTCTCTGAACCCACTGAGATCAGAAATGTCCTTTCTTTTAAGGGAGCGTTGGAGACCTGGTTTATACGCAGCTTTGCTTCATCGCTCGCTGGAGCAGCCTTGTACACTATGGTCAATGCCCGTATGATATCGTCCAGTGCTAATGGCAAGCAATTGTGCAGACGTTGACGGAAAGCGAGTGATGGTGCAGGCTCAGCGAGGACTAGCGTTCAATGTTTATTGTACTTTTTTGGCTTGCGATGTCATTTTGTCTTCTTTCCTGATTATCGTGCTTCCCCTTGGAAACACGGCGCACAAAATTACCCTCGAGGATGTTTTTTTGTATTGTTCCAAAGCTACCGTACTATCAGAGAGACTCTACAAACTGCGATTGTTAAAACCAGGGATTTATTTATCACTCGGTATTTTCGGGAACACCCTTAGGCTGGCTGGAAGTAAGTAAGTAAGGATAATTATCGCTGCACTAATACTAAAGTACACGGTGTGGCTATCCAGAATAATCATATTTTTTTGCACCCTGTATTCCTGTAATCCTCCGATCAGCACGGTTGGCTACATACGGCGTGAATGAAGTTCAACATACACACAAAAGGCTTAGGACCGAATAAGGCGAGAGATGGACTGTCGCTCACCAAAATGGTTCCTGGAACAGTGTTCCGGTTGAAATTGAGCTCTGGTTACAACCGTAACCCATGTTGCTGGCTTAAAGCCAAAGAACGTCCCTGCCTGCGACACTGACTGGCACTGCAAACGCAGGGCTCCTGACCAGTGACGTAGTGGCAGTTTGGGGGGGGGGGGGGGGGCTCTCCCCAGGTAAAAATATATATTAAGAAACTTTCCCATTGTTTCACCCGCTACTCCCTCTGGATTGTTTGCGAGACCCGTGCGCTCACCATTACCCTCGAGAATCATCCATCTTTGGAGATATTTTTTTTTTTACTTTTAGTACGAACGTCGTGTTCACCACCGGACCGTTGTGATCGCTCGCCGTTGGCGCTCGAGTGGACTGCTGTGTCCAACGCCGCCAGTCTCTTGTCGAGATGGGGCTCCGTAGCGTGCCGTTTAAAGCATTAGAGCCCGAGTGGAAAGAGAGGAGCAGCGAGAGCATTTCGTTGACCGGAGCTTCAGTGGTCCTTCGCAGTCGATTTTGTAAAGACCCACGTTACAACCGCGGTCGATGCGCCGTGCATGGCGCACGTGTTCTCGCGAGCGAGGGACTCTGCAAATCTACACAAGGTGGGGAGCGGCGGTTAGTAGGGGTGGGGGGTGGTGGTGGGTAGGGGGTGAGAAATGCAGTTGTAATGTTTTCTCCTCTTGTCAAAATAAGAAAGTGAAAATTATTTCCTGCTCAAATGAGCGTTGAGGCACTGGTGCTCATCTCTTGTTTACAACCCTGCAGGGCCAGTTGGTGGAAATTCCACATCCATATGGCGGGAGCGAGTCTATCCATAGAATGACCGAGAAACAGTCGCAAAAGGGAAGGTCTTGAGCCAGGACTAATATGGGGCATGCGGAGGTTGACAGCACCGGTGGCTGGGGCAAGGGAGTTCCAGACTGCGAGGGCAGGGGAGGAGAATGGGCGACCTCTCATTCAATAAAGCTTGACACTTTTGCTTCAATGAAAAGCCTTGCTTGCTGGAGCGGAGAGTGGGTCAGAAAATTACAAAACAGCTCGTATCTACGGAAGCCCGAGTCCACGGGGCGGCCACCTGCAGCTCAGGAGCCTATGCGACTCTTGAAGGACTGCTACGTGATGTTAGTTACTTAGCATCACCGTCTCATAGTCACGTGCATTGTGGCTCTTGAAATCTTGAGGGAGTTTTTTTTTTACCGCACTCGAAAAAAATGTCTCTTTTTGCTATTTTGCTTGGCGACCCCTGCCCTAACCTAACTAAGCGTTACTTTAAGAGCATTTTTGTTATTTCACCACAATATAAATTTGTCATCGCAGAACAGAACTTGGGGGCAGCCAGCAAATGGCATCGATGCAGCAAGAGCAGAGTCAGCTGTGCCACAGCAACAGTCGAGAAGGCCAAGGGATTCGAGACGAGAGGAGAACGAGAAGAAGACAGGGGGCCCCGTGGCTGATGGAGCGTGAGGACTCGCGCTCGATTCCTGCCGATAATTCCCGGGCTAACGAGCCAGCTCACCGATGGCCGTGGGAACGCAGTGGGAGAATGTTTCGAATCTTTATCAGATCCGTGCTTTCGATTGGAGGAACTCGATGAGCGATGAAGTTCATCTGCGGCAACAGCAGCAGCGGCAGCGGCGGCATTAGTCTTCTGGAAGCGAGGCAGTGCAGCGAGCCTGGCGCGGTTGCGACTAAGCGACGGTCATTATTTCATCGCGGAGTGCCGCATCTGTCAGCTCGGCGGTGCCGGCCATGCGGAGATGGATTCCGCCATCTGCAGCGGAGCAGCTGTCTGTCCCTCTCTCTCTCTCTCTTCTGTCTCTCGGCGTGCGCGATGCCAGCTATTGTAGGACGCTTTAACGGCCGCCGTGCAACGTTAAAGCAGAAAAAAGGCGCACTGGCACTAACATGATGAACAGTTATGAAATTAGTGACGAGAATATTCGTCATTTGAGTGTGTTTTTTGTCATTTTAATTTAGTCATTGATTACTACGGGTGGATGTAAATGATCGAGCGTTGCAAAAACTCACGACTGCCCACCAAAGACCAAAGCGTGACTGTGACGAGACGAAATTGTTGAGTCTGAAACGAAGACGCAGACTAAGATAACGTCTCTGTGTGTCTATGTTGTGTGTCTCTCTGTGTGTCTCTGTGTTGCCTCTCTCTCTGCTTGTGTGTCTGTCTGTGTGTGTCTCCTTGTCTGTGTTTTGTCTCTCTCTCAAATTTAGTTCTACCTGATGATGGTTGCTTGTGTTGCTATCGAAACGTCGTACTCTATTTAATTGATTTTCTTTCTACGTGACTTTACCGAAAGAACCAAAGAGTAATTCCTGCAGTCACGAAAGCTTCAAATCAAGTTTAAGATAACCGCGGTGAGCCCAGAAAGACCAAACAGAGTGCCGTAATTGCCTATAGTGACATCTACGGATGAAATGTGCCTTACAAATGCATGTCGTTATAATGTATATACAGAGGTTCATGAAGTACAACGAGTGTTTAACCTGATAATTAACGCTGGGTGGGAAATTTCACAAACCCTTTAACCAAAACCTAGTAACCACTACATTTGTGGGCTAACGGTTCAACTGCCTTTTGTCGACTAGACCTTAAGATAAAGCTTCGATGAAATGCGCAGAGTAGGACTTGACTAAAGCTCCACGGGTTCTCGACGACTCGTCTGAGACTGCGACCTCACGTCGAATCAGAATCGTTATTGAGACCGGAGGAATCCGAAAAGCTATGAAGCTCTTTTTCTCACAGATGTCCAGTGATGACCGCATTCGCGCTTGCAGCGAGCGACGCACGCGGCCCCAGCTGCCTCGCAACAGCTGCCACTCCGGCTCGTTGAACGTGGTTCCGTGCCAAGAAAGTAAACCCAGCAGTTGGAGTGTTCTAAACGTTCGTGCAAGGCTCAGCGTCCCGGATCAATCAATCAATCGTTTTTCTTACGCGCCAATATCGCCCTCGGTAAAGCAGGCATCAGTGCACATCGTAGTGGAATGGGAACGGTACAACAGGAATGAAAAAATAAACCCGTCACGACCCCAGCGGCAAACACCGGCTGAGCAACCGCGCACAAAAGAAAGTGCAAACGTGGGCAACGAATAGCGTAAGAGCCGTAAGAAGCAAATAGCAATTAAAAGGAGAGAGAGAGACAGCTTTAATGAGATTTTTTTTTGTAATGGGAAGCTTAGAATAGATGCGTCTTACACAGACCGCGAAATTGAGAGACACTTGGCACGTTTCAGATGTCCGGTAGGGCAGGCAGATGGGGGGGGGGGGTCCAGATTGGGGGGGGCTGCGCTCCAGAAGGCTCCGTCTCCCCAGCGTCGTGTGAACAATCCTGGGCTCAGCCACGTGTTGACTTGTGTAGTTAAGCGACTTGAACTTTGGCCCAGGCGAACGTACGATTATTTGAGTGTAACAGCCACAGAGTGTGGTTGACAGCCCAGCCGACGCAGGTTTGTACACAGGCAGGGATTACAAGGTGACAAGGATTTTAATGTATTCGTTGATTTCCCTGGAATGAAATCAATACATATTTGGAAAGTAAAGGTTGTGTTGAAGCAATATTGTCTAAATTGTAATGATATTTTTTTGTTCACTTATCTTTTGAGATAACATTTTTTCCTTCTACAAAACACCGAGTTACATCGGGAGAGGTCAGTATTTTTACCGATCTAGATTTATAAATTGGTGAAATTGCTTTTAATCATGGACGACCATGCTAGGATTTACGCTGAGAAACAAGAAAAGGAGCATACGGTTCAGAGACCAAACTCCCCTTAAAGATAGCATATTGCCTGTTAATATTAGTACATTGACTAAGGCAGAACATGTCACTAGATGGAATGATGGCCATTGGTGGAGACAAATAGCAGAGTGGCAGCCAAGGACGGAACGCGTCCGAAAGGACATTCGTTGCAAGATGTAGCGATGACATCAGCTCACGTGCATGATATAGATAGCCTGTTGCATCACGGGACAATCAGGAATGGCAGCGACTTGGGGAGGTCTTCATGCAGCATTGGATAAATCATGACTAATGATGATTGATGATGAACATTTGTAAAGACTGCATCTTAAGATGTTCCACGTGAGAAAACCTCACTTCTTGGAATACACACGCCTAGATAGAGCGTTACATGCGGTAACAATTTCAGTCAGTGAGTTAAACACCCCCCGTTTCGGGGGAGAGTGAGTTTTCGGCAGTCTAATGAAGCAAGCGCACGGCTCATTGGGCAGAGGCCAATTTAACACGCGGTTCACTTTCAAATTGTGCGTTGGTTCCAGGCGAATCTGATGCTTCGAGGGTTCGTATCAACATCAGCATCTCCATTATGCGTTTTTTTTTAATTCCATCGAAAGGACACCTTATCCACGTTTGGGTAAAGGTGCAGCCGTCCAATTCGCTTGCTCATGCCACTGCTGGCAGAGGGCCTTCCACTAGTGGGACCTCTCTCTCGAGAGAGAGAGAGTCCTATATACAGAGTATTTTGTGGCCTACTCTTTAATACTGATCAGCCGTCTTGGAAAAGGCGGTAGTAACCACGTGTTACTCCGCTCCTGTGCACACGTGACTTGCTGATTGACTGTGGTGTACCAATTTGTACTGCTGGGTGGACAGAGGTGAGGGTGGTGGGGGGTTAAACAAAAATGTGTGCATTGAGACCAAACTGGCAACCTCTGGGTTGCAAGTCCAATGTGCTAACCACGACACAACGGCAGTGTCTTCCTTCCTTATGTTTAACACGTGGTTTATCGAAAACAAAGATTCGGAGGTATGAGTGGCTCTGAACCCTTTATGTTCACTTCTGGTGAAGGCCCAGCACCTCTCCCCGACCCAACTACCGCCCCTGGAGCACCGTGAGATGTTTGCCAGGAAGCAAGATTTTGACTTAAAACTTTCGTGGCTGCAGGAATTCATATTCTTTGGTCATTTCGGTAAAGTCACGTAGATAGAAAAACAATAATAAAAATTAAGTGAATAAAAATATTTGTCAAAATATTTGTATTCACTTTATTTGTATTATTATTTAATACATTTTCTATCTACGTGACTTTACCGATAGAACCAAAGAATAGGAGGCAAGATGTATAGGTTTAGTGTTATCGGCAGCCCAGGGGACTTGCATGAAAGACTGAGTTATTTTTTCATTATTCTACATTTGCAAAAACCTCAGTTCGTGTCAGGCCATACAAATAAATACATGGCTATAATAATACTTTTAAAAATATACGTGGAAGCCTCAAGAAGAATGGTTTAGACAGCTGTGACAGATTGCATTGAATATTGACCACTGTTGGACGCATGTTCCAGAGAGGGTGTATTCGCATTTTGACGCCTCGACTTGCTGAAACGTAACTGGGTAATGTTCATACGACCTAGTAAGCAAAGATAATCCCATAATGCTTCATTCTTTTGTGTGTGTCGAGATCAAAAACACACGGGAAATTATTTTCCCTTCTTCGCTGCAGTTTTTTTGTACATAATTTCTCAACACCTCCATAAAAATTTACATTTCACGTTTTACCGACCGCCTACGATGTTTTGCATTTGTTTATTCAATGCCATAAAATGAAAAGTGAAAGGTGGTTCCTCACTCAAGTGTCGGCCTATGCTCACCTAAGTCATCTATTTTGCAGGTCATGAGCCAATGGGAGAAAACAAATTCCACGTTTATTTTGCAGGGACCATTGAACAATGGATAGCCACTGCTGAATTTTCACTTAGTGTTTCTCACCTTAGGATGATGCTTACGATTGGAGTGAGTTGACATGGGTACTTGAGCTCTGATGCTCATGAATGAGAACTTTGCTGCTGCTGCACGAGTATCTGCATTTATTGTCATTTTGCAATCGATAAATATGACGTATGGATTGGAGACATGGACACTCGCCAATACAACGCGGCGAATGTTCAAAAGTGTGCTGAGGAGCGCGGAGATGTGCATGCTTGGAATTACACTGACATGCTGACATTCGGGATGAGGAACGCATGGATCAGAACGCACGTTAATAGACGTAAGAATTGACTGTTAATAAAATGAAGTGGGCTTGAGCAGGACAAGCCGCGAGACAGGGATGACGACTGGCGGTTGAGACCAATGACAGTGGAAGCCGAAAGAGAGTTAACTACCTCTCCTGGTATTCAGGAGGTCGTGGGTTCGATCCCGACCCTGACACCTGCTGCTGTATATTTGGAGTGCGCATGTTCTCGCTGTGGTCACGTGAACATTTTCTCTGGGTCCATTTTTTTCCCCCCTGGTAAAATAAAACATAGTTTGGTTTAGGTCAGAAGCTATACTGTATCGTAGCGTCACGATACTGTGGCAGATGGTGACAGCTTGAGGAAGGCCTTAATCCAGCAGTGGATAGTTCAAGGCTGATCATGGTCATGATGAAGAATTCCAAAGATTAAGAGAAGCAAAGCTACTGCGTCATCTTATTACTCCTTGCCCATAACTCTACTCGCAAATGTGGCCAACATGTGGGAGACTTAGTTTTTACACACAACAATGACCGCTTTGTGGGAGGGCAGCTGTTACCCTAATTAAATCTGTATATTAAAGAAAAGCAAGCTTTAAAACAACATCTCTCCCTTCTGCAGGTCATCTCCTTAGACACCGAGCTGGAGGCAGCCAACGGGAAGATGGTGAAAGCCCTGGAGGTGTTTGCCCATGCGTTGCGCTTCTTCAAGGAGAGAGCCTTACAGGTAAAACAAACGCTCGTGCTGCTAAATAATTGAGCACGTCACCATTTTGAGAAGGCTGGGTGCAAAAGCATAGCATCGTTGCCATGGGCTAGAGAGCAAGGAATTCCTAATAGCCTCGGCCAGTGGTTCCCAAACCCAAGCGGAGCACAGGCTGTGGCGTGGATACTGTGCAGGAAGATGGCAGACAAGGTCGGCGCTGCATTGCAGCGGCAAATCACGCAAATACACAACGTGAAACAGATACCTGACTGACACCACGTTGTCTAGAAGAGGATGGGGGGAGAGGAGAGGAGGTTGTGGGGGGGGGGGGGGGGTAAGGAGGATGGGGTGCTTGTGGGCAGTGGCCGCCATAATCAAAAACATTGAAAACCATTGATCTGGGCAATCTTCCATTTTACCTTTTGTCTCCTCCAGTAATCTTCTTTACTCCATTGGCGAGCCCTATCATTTGCGGGTGACCTCTGAGCTCATTTCCTTCGTATGACAAATTTCTCCAGGTTGTGTTTTTTGAGTGCCGATGTCCAAATCCTTATTCTGAGAACCGCTCACGCGTGAATCCTGCTGCTGCCCCGTTCTGCCGGATTTCCGCCCATCTCCGGAACTCGCAGGAACTCTCGGATCAGACGGGCTTGCCGTACAACCCCGATGAGATCCGATGGGTGATCACGGTCCCCGCCATCTGGAAGCAGCCGGCCAAGCAGTTCATGAGGGAGGCGGCCTATGCGGTGAGTTGGGGAGGGCGACTGCTTGCAGATGGTCCATTTTGAGGAATTTTTTTTTAGTTTTTCTGCTCGGCATTTGTGTACAGTCTTCTTCTTTTTTCACCGGCATTCTCACAACTCGTTTTATTCTTCATTCATGTTGTTTGTTATGATCCATGGCTCCGGATTCCCCCATCCCATCCATTCTGTCTTGGGCCATAGCTATGGAAAGATGGATGGAGGTGGTTTCCCTCTTGCCTTCTGCAACAGTATATTTTTTAATGTGACACCATCACCAGCTGTAGCTGAATGTCATACCCAGGACACATTTGATTTGACAGCCGGATCCTTTCAAGTGTACTCTGCAGTGCTCTAAACTCCAGTCGTCACATTCCACCACAATCCAGGTTTACATTTTTATGAAACGCTTGCGTACAATGGATGGCAGTGGTTGACATCATGGCACTGGGGTGTGAAAGCCTGCATGCAGCAGGAACAGTTGTGAGCAAAACACCGACAGTAAACACTGAGACAATTCTAACGTGGTTATGATTCTGGCACCTCAAAATAAAAGATCACTAGACACGTTACACATTTAAGATCGTTTGATTATCCGAAGCCAGTCGCCCCTAACCAAAGTGAGGTCATTATAAATTGATTCATCCAGTAAAGTCTAACATCATCTCAGTACTTTTTAAAGCACAAGGCATTAGGATGTTTGGCCATTTCTTTGTTAAAGAGCATTTTTTTTTTCCTAACTCTCAGTAGACCTGAAGGTGTCGCACCGATCCTCATTCTTCCTTTGTTCGTGCCTCTGCCCCACCAGGCAGGGATCGCGACCCCACAGGCCCCTGAGGGCCTCCTCATTGCCCTGGAGCCCGAGGCTGCGTCCATCTATTGCCGCAAGTTGCGCCTCAACCAACTCACGGAGCTCGCGGCTTCAACCCACGTCTCCAATGGCCACGGCGACTCGGCCCCCCCAACAGGCTTCTCCAATGGTGCGCGTGCGGCCTCAGTGGCAGGCTTGTCACTAGCTGGGCCAACGGTAGGGTTGCCACCTGTTTTGGGGGTTTTTTTTCTTCCAGGAATTGTCCTCTTTTTTTTTTTAGGTAGCTGCCCAGGGATTCTGTAAGTTTTTACCATGACTTTAAAGGACTCGTTTTTTTTGTTGTCAAGTTGCATGATAAGAAAATGGATATGCGTGTCTATGGGACTCTTTTTTTTAACAGTGTGTTGGTTCCAGGTGAATCTGATGCTTCGAGGGTGGGTGTTCAACACCAGCATCTCCGTTCTGGCAATAATACAGGAGGTTTTAAGATGTTCAAACACCAAATACACACATATTCCAAGGCATCAAGTCTGCATTAACCACCAATGCTTGAGGTAAAACATGCAAACAAATATGCTTTGATCATATGTGCATTGTCTTTGAAACTGATTGGCTTATATCAGGAACAGACTCCTGCATGTCGTTGTCTCACCAGTGTTAGGCAACCAGATGCCTTGCAATAGGTGTCTATTTGGTGTTTGGATATCTGAACACCTGTATTATTGTTGGAAAGGGTAAAGCCTATCATTCCCTTTCATCATCTCCATGTCATTCTTTGCCATCTCGATACTGAAATATTATTCTTCCCATAATATTTCCCAGGTTTTTGTTTATACCTCAGAGGTGGCAACCATAGCAGTCAGCCATTCCAGGATGTGGTGGATTTCACGAAAAGAAACGGAAGCTGAATTAGATAATGAAAAGTAAACACATGAATGCATAAGAAGTACGCATTTAATCAGTGCATACTACCTGTTATGACACATGATTCAGAATCCTGGCCATTAACGAAAAATACAGAAAACCTTAACAATTTGCAAAGAAGCATGCTTCCTCGTGGCACTGAGACATAAGGAGGAACACATGGATTAGAGAACACAGGTTAATGACATTGTCCAAACCATGAATAAAAGTTAGTGGGCTTGGACTGGATGTGTCATGGCTAGATGGGTTGATGGCTGATGGTCAAAAATAAGAGTGGCAGCCAAAGAATGGAGCGGGTCCAGTAGTACGTCCAATGAGATGGAGCCATGAAAAATATATTTTATGTAGGAGATGGGAGGACTACACTGCAGGATCATAAGAGATGGTCGCAGCCTAAAGAGGCCTGCATCTATCAGTGGATTAATCATGGCTGATTATGATTATCTAAAGGCCAAACACATCTAAAGCCAATCCCCGCATATGTGCACCTGTGGGTATTAGAATGTCCTGCGCGAGATGGAGTGATGTGGTACAAGAGGATGTAAAGCTGAGTGGACTTGCCGATGACTGGCACCAGCGGTGTCAAGATCGGCCTCTGTGGAGGAGGCTCGTGAAGGACGCGATTGGGCAGTTGGAGGCAGTCGCCCTCCAACTACAATGGAGGGCAGAGGGGCGATGCTCACAACAACGAGCGCAGCGCCGGGTGGCTAAAGCACAGCAAGTTGGCACAGTAGGGGGCACAGGTGGTGCATCAGCCAGTCATCTCAGTCAGTTGACCCGTGGCACCTGCTGGGTCTGTCCCGTGACCTCCTGCCAGTGGGCGTTGGACACTTCACGTGGCTGCAACGTGCACCTAGCCTGGCACAAGCACCGCGGTGACGTCCTCACCACTTAGTGGCGAAGAGTGTTTTTTTTCGCGAGAATTTACCGCGTACAGTGAGAAGGTCCGTGCAGGGGTCAATTGGATAGGGCGGGTCAAATACAAATAAGTCCCAAATGATGGCTTGTGATTGGTCAGGATGGACCTGAGTTCGCCCCCCTAGGCCACACCTTTCAACCCCCCCCCAATCGGCCAATGGGATGCTGACCAAGCCTTTGCATATGATGACGCCCTCTACGAATACATTTTTAAATATTGATTATTTTTCAATGGATCTCATCTGTCGATTGAATAGTTACTGAAGACAATTCTAGTTGTAGAGCAAATTTGTAGGTGGGGCACCACCCCAACGCCCCATATAAGCGTGAGGAGAGTGTTTTGTGGCGAGTATTTCAATGAGTGTTCGTGGTTTATTTTTCCGTAAAGCTCAGTCAGGTACACAAGGTTCAACACCCGAGTCGGAATCTTACTTAACACGTGGGGAAACCTCTGTGATGTTATCACTTCTCTGTAACTGAGCGGAGAGCTCATATTGCTAACGAGATACAAGGTCAACGATTCGAATCCTGTAGTATTTTTCATCGAATATAATTTTCACAAATAAATAACCGCAACTACAAGTAGCAATCAAAGCAAACGGTGAGATGTATTTAATCATTATGAAACGATACATTTAAAACAGTCACGGCAGTTAATCTCTCGTTTGCCAGAATGTAAAAGCAACAGTTGTGAAACGTACTGTCGTAGAATGCTACGTTTTTTCAACCAATCCAAGGAGGCAGTCGACGCCGTGGAGGATTGCAGCGACACCACCAGGATGTGCAAGTGCAATGATTTAATAACGGGAACATTCAACGACCTTCATCAAGGTTGTGAAGTGTAGTGGATGATAGCACGGCAGATTCTGGAGCGAACACCCTGGGTTTAAATCCCGTATATGTTTTTGCGCCATAATTTAATAATACGGTACATGACACCGCGGTGATGTCTCATGCACAATTCACGTGATGCCATTATCACTTCTCTATTGCCAAGTGGAGGGTGCACAGGAATGCCAAATCGCAGGGTCGCAGATTCAAAATCGGTAGAGCTTTAATTTAATATTATTTTGCAAGTGACGTATTAAAAGGAAAGGGTAACATTTATTATTTCGTTTTACTACATTTGAAATAGCAATGTTTAATAAGGCAATTATTTATAAAGTAAAGCATTAATTGTGTCCACAAAAGGTAGCATAATGGACATTTGTGCCGTCTCTGAAGCAAGCAACCTGGGTTAAAATCCGACAATTAATATTTTGCACAATTGAATTCAAATAGCCCATAGCACAGAGCCCAGCATCGTTTCATGCAGCGAAGTCTGGCAAAACAATGAACACGTGCTGTGGAAACGGTAAAATAGTGGCATCCACCCACAAAGGGGTGCTGATTTTCGTTGGTAAAACGACATGAACATCGCAATTTTTTCCATCAAAATGTTTTATTTTTGCACATTCAAGCATTAACACGCGGGGTAAGAACGACAGGGAATTGCATGCTGATAGACTGTGGGGGAAATGAAAGACAAATTGGCTGTTTTTTGAGAAACACATGCTAATATGCGGTTAGCAATGGCAAAACAAAATGTGCATAGACTAGCAATGATTAAACGGTTCAGGAACATGATCAACAACAACAAAAAATATATAAAAGTGCACAAAGACGCATCGGGAGATGCATGGTCGCATTAACACGGAGACTGAAAGAGGAGCACATGGATTAGAGAACGGACACAGGATTCATGACATCGTTCTGTTCATAAACGTGAGTGGGCTTACACAGGATGATTAATGGCTGAACAGGGTGACAACCTAAGAATGGTCCAAGACAACGTCATGTGCAGTTGCTCGATAGACTGTAGTGTCGACGGATCGTGCAAAGTTGCGGCAATTTGTGGGAGGGGGGGTGCCTGCATCCAGCAGTAGAGTAAGCATGGCTGATTATGATCATCTAAATGTACGTAGCCAACCGTGCTAATCGGAGGTGCAACAAAAATGTCAAACGCTTACAAACCCGGTCGCGTATGTGTGTGTGTGCGTTGGAAAATACCACGTGTTACTACTGATGAGCGCCGTGTGGCTATGACGGGTGCCGGTTTCTGGGACGAGGGGGCAGGGAAGGGGAGGGACGGGAACGCTGCTCAGAGCTGGATTTTGCTGTAGGTGGTGGTGGTAGACTGCCACCTGCTGTCAGCTACACGCCATCACACACAAGTTGGTAAATGTTACCCAGTTTCGGAAAGGGGAAAACGTTGGAAAGGGCGCAAATAACGCGTGGAGAGGTACACGCCTGGAATTATACCGAGAAACAGAGGAACGCGTGGATTAGAGAGAAAATTTAATGTACCCGTTGTAGTGACCGTTCAGAAAAGTGGGCTTGTGCAAGACACGTCGCAAAATGGGTAACAGTAATTATCATTATGTGTAACATTACTGTCTGAATAACTAATGTTAAACAGGAGAGACAAAATACAATCAACACGTTATCCACGAGCCGTGAGATACCACCAGCTATTTAATCGAAGTTATTGAAATGGTAACCAGATCCACTTCACAATCGATCGGCCTGTGCCACCGTTGCAATCCTTCCCTTCTGCCCGTAGGTTGGGACGTGCCGCGCCGCTCCCGACACAGCCAGAGGGCCACCTTCCTCGTGGAGACCAGCGTCGGGGAGCTGTGGTCAGAGCTGCAAGCTGGTGCGGCGTCACCTCCGCTCCCTCCCCCCCCCCACGTCTCCATCACCACTCCTCATCTCGAACATATCCAGCAGAGTTTCTCAAACACGTGTCTCATCACCATGGTCATCAATCGTCATTCATCATTAATAATCATCATCCGTTGTCTTCATCATCATCGTCATCCGTACCTCCGATTAGCACGATTGGCTATGGACGGTGCGAAAGAAGTTAATCATGTACGTTGTCCTTCCACTGCACCTCCGAATAGCACGGGTTGCTACGTACGGTGCGAAAGAAGTTCAACACACATACATAGTAGCCACAGCCAAAGCAACATGAACACTGGATGTGGTATGCCAGGTGGGGAAATATCGTCTCGGTCTCCAAACCCAGACAGACCTGGCTGGTATTAATCCATGTTTACACGACATTTACCACCAAACATCTCCTGCCACCCTACATTTGTTTTTATGAAGTACATATATATTTTTTCATCCGTGCATCTTGGCCCGTCCTCCCCTTGCGCAGGGGACAAGTACCTGGTGGCCGACTGTGGTGGCGGCACCGTGGACTTGACCGTGCACCAGATCGAGCACCCACAGGGCACGCTCAAGGAGCTGCACAAGGCCTCGGGTAACGAGCTTCTGGACGGTACCAGCCAGTCGCCGCAGCCTGCATGGCATGGGCCCTGGCCCAATGATACGGGGGCGCCCTGTCAAATATCCCCGTCCCGCTCCATCGTCCTCCCAGCACTTGAGTCCTGGGAGCAGGGCCGAGTCTGCCTGGGCTCACATCCACGCAATTCGAGCATGATGGGGCGGCGGTGGGAGATGTGCTTGGCGAGAGAGCGCCCAGATTAGCACTCTCACCCGGCACTGCCTTGGCACTCTTCTTGCCAAATGTCACGCCAACTGTTACCCAACCCTTGTGAAAGCTTGCCCCTCTCTCACCGACGCTGGCCATTCTCTTGCCAAACCTCACTGCTCTCTCGCTAAATCTCATCACACTTGTCACCACTCACCCTCTTGCCAAAAACTCTCGCGAAATCTCGCTAACTTGTCTCACCAAATGTTTCTCCAACTCTCGTCACTCTCTCACCGCTCGCTCGTCAATTGTCGCCACTCAAGTGTCATTATCTCGCCAAGCTTATGCAGCTTTTGGTTGAAACGGCTCCCTGTGTTTGTGTATGTATTTATGAGTAGTGGCGCAGTGATTAGCCCACTATGCTTGGAGTCGCGCGACTTGAGTTTGATTCCTAGGTGTAGTTAACATTAACGGTGAGTGGTATCTGAACCAGTCCGGGGGGGCCCCGTAAGTTGACAGACATAAATGAGTACCTGGTGCCGTGTGTAAACATCAGCACCGGGGAGAGATCCCGAGATGGCCGGGCGTGCTTTTGAGCACACGCTCCTGTCATGCGCCATGCCAACCTTCATAGCTACTCACAATGTGTGTGGCTATACCGGGCATTTTTGTCGTGGGGGCGCACACACAGCCCGTGGTGAAATAATGGGAGCGGCGATTCACGCCCTGACACCGTGACCGCGACCACCCGAGTTGAAATTCCTTCGCCACGACGAATGTGAGCGGTTCGAGCGGTACCAAAACCCGATCGTCGGCATCCCACCCCCCACCCCCCGCCACCCCCCCCCCCCCGCTTCAACCGGCGTGGCGGAGGCCTTCGTCCTGCGGTTGTGCGTGACGCGTCGCGCGCGTCACGTGCGCAGGTGGGCCTTACGGCTCTCTGACCGTGGACCAGGCCTTCGAGCGGCTGCTGGGCCGGATCTTCAGCGCCGAGTTCATCGTGCAGTTCCGGCGGAACCGCCCGGCCGCCTGGGTGGACCTGACGATCGCCTTCGAGTCGCGCAAGCGCACGGCGGCGCCGGGCCGGGCGGGCCCGCTCAACATCTCGTTGCCCTTCTCCTTCGTGGACTACTACAAGAAGGTGCGCGGCCACAGCGTGGAGACCGCCCTTCGCAAGAGCGGGTGAGCGAGCCCAGGGGCCTCTTCGATGCTTTGCGTCGCCGCGCGCCCATTTCGCACCGAGCGATCGTTCCGCACCGTTGACGTCGCCGTCGGCGCCATTGTCAGTGTTGTCATCGTTATCACCATCTTCATTGCTGGCAAAATCAAATCATTGTCACCAGCAGCAGCAGCAGCATCATCACGGACCCGCCATCATCATTATCATTGTTTCATGAAATCATCGTCGCCATAACGATCATCACGGTCACCATCAAAGCATTGTAAGCGTCATCACGGTCATTATCATCCTCGTTGTCATTGTTGTCATGATCAAATTATTATCACCAACATCATAATCATCACCGCGATATCACCATCATTACTGTCAATATCATTATCGTCATTATCATCGTTATCGTTGGTGTCATGAAATAATTGTAGCCATCATCACAGTCGTCATCATTATCATTGTTGTCGTGTTCGTCATCACAGTCGTCATCACTATCATTGTTGTCGTGTTCATCATCACAGTCGTCATCACTATCATTGTTGTCGTGTTTGTCATCACAGTCGTCATCATTATCATTGTTGTCGTGTTCATCATCACAGTCGTCATTGTCATTGTTGTCGTGTTCGTCATCACAGTCGTCATCATTATCATTGTTGTCGTGTTCGTCATCATAGTCGTCATCATTATCATTGTTGTCGTGTTCATCATCACAGTCGTCATCATTATCATTGTTGTCGTGTTCGTGATCACAGTCGTCATCATTATCATTGTTGTCCTGTTCGTGATCACAGTCGTCATCATTATCATTGTTGTCGTGTTCGTGATCACAGTCGTCATCGTTATCATTGTTGTCGTGTTCGTGATCACAGTCGTCATCGTTATCATTGTTGTCTTGTTCGTCATCACAGTCGTCATCATTATCATTGTTGTCGTGTTCGTGATCACAGTCGTCATCATTATCATTGTTGTCGTGTTCGTGATCACAGTCGTCATCATTATCATTGTTGTTGTGTTCGTCATCACAGTCGTCATCGTTATCATTGTTGTCTTGTTCGTCATCACAGTCGTCATCATTATCATTGTTGTCGTGTTCGTCATCACAGTCGTCATCATCATTGTTGTCGTGTTCGTCATCACAGTCGTCATCGTTATCATTGTTGTCTTGTTCGTCATCACAGTCGTCATCATTATCATTGTTGTCGTGTTCGTCATCACAGTCGTCATCATTATCATTGTTGTCGTGTTCGTGATCACAGTCGTCATCATTATCATTGTTGTCGTGTTCGTGATCACAGTCGTCATCACTATCATTGTTGTCATGTTCGTCATCACAGTCGTCATCATTATCATTGTTGTCGTGTTCGTCATCACAGTCGTCATCATTATCATTGTTGTCATGTTCGTCATCACAGTCGTCATCATTATCATTGTTGTTGTGTTCGTCATCACAGTCGTCATCGTTATCATTGTTGTCTTGTTCGTCATCACAGTCGTCATCATTATCATTGTTGTCGTGTTCGTCATCACAGTCGTCATCATTATCATTGTTGTTGTGTTCGTCATCACAGTCGTCATCATTATCATTGTTGTTGTGTTCGTCATCACAGTCGTCATCGTTATCATTGTTGTCTTGTTCGTCATCACAGTCGTCATCACTATCATTGTTGTCTTGTTCGTGATCACAGTCGTCATCATTATCATTGTTGTCGTGTTCGTGATCACAGTCGTCATCACTATCATTGTTGTCGTGTTCGTGATCACAGTCGTCATCATTATCATTGTTGTCATGTTCGTCATCACAGTCGTCATCATTATCATTGTTGTCATGTTCGTGATCACTGTCCGTCATCATTATCATTGTTATCGTGTTCGTCATCACTCTCCGTCATCACTATCATTGTTGTCGTGTTCGTGATCACAGTCGTCATCACTATCATGATGATAATGATCACAGTCGTCATCATTATCATTGTTGTCTTGTTCGTCATCACAGTCGTCATCATGGTCATCGTCATCTGGACTTACAGGTCAGCACCGGTTCGGTTCACTGAAAAGTCCAGCGAGCTGCAAATAATCCAAATATGAGGAAAATATAATAAACACAAACAACCCTGTAAACCCTTACACAAGTAAATAGCATTTAAAGCGCACGTTGTACAGAATTAAAATTTTCCAAACACTTTGAAATATACACGTATCTAATACAAACGAAAAGCTCAACGTGCCGTATCTGCACAGTGCACTGCAACGTACTCGCTGTTGAGCTGCGTAGCAATTATCCGAGAAATAAAACAAACAAACAAACAACAGGCGCAGAAATAAGTTAGATACGGGTGCAAGTAAGCGCTCTATTCTCGTCTAATCGGGACGTAAACGCACGCGAATCGGAAAAAAAAATTAGAGTGCAACGTAATGTGAGAGCAAGAGGTGTCAGAAAAATTTGTGTACAGGTGCAAGTACATGTGCAAGCAAGCACCCGTGGTGGGAACTGTAGGGTAAATTATATTATAGGTGGGGCTAATCGTGAAATCCAGACAACCAGGGTTGTATCATATAGACATCCGGAAATCAAAATACGTGAAGAACTATAAAGTGAAATGCTTTTTTTTCTACTTGCTTTTAACATTGAAATCAAAGTACACTTTTTGAAACTTGTTCTAACGCCTACTCGATCGTTTCTACATACCAGGGTTGAGTTCGTGAAGTGGTCGTCCCAGGGCATGCTGAGATTAAGTGCCGAGGCCATGAACGACCTCTTCCAGCCGACCATCCAGAAGATCGTGCAGTGCATAGGTAGGTGGTGGTGGTGGTGATGACTTCAGCACTGGGACCTTTAAACCTCGCGGGTGAGGAGTGAGTGGGTGAGCGGTCTGCTTCGTGGCATTTCTATCAAACAGTCCCCTAGAGATGTAAAAGGTGAATTCAAATGCAAGAACAAATTATCCATCATGCGGTGGCGTCGTGTGGTTGGCATGGGCCCTGGTGCAAGAAATCACACGGGGGACCCCCTGTCCAATTTCACCTTCTTTTCGTAGCTCGAGGCCTTGGCTCCACCAGCCCATGGGCCTTGGTGCAGCTGCACCGCCTGTGCACTCAATAGCTGCCCCACTGATGTGATGCGTCTTTTCGCAGGCTTCGGTTAAGACCATCAAACCGGGTGTAAGTGATAATGCAGTTTGTGCTCACGTAAGGAGCCAAGAACTGGAACGCGGATATTAAGCATTGATGCGACCGTGCTAAATTGTTGCAATGATTATGGCATTGATGTTGGTGGACGTTGGTGATGGTTACAGCAGTGTTCCTGGCTGATGCTGCTGCTACTGCTGCTGGTTCTGCCGGTGGCAATGCCGGCGCGTGCGTGCGGTGCGGTGACCCCCCCAGGTGACGTGCTCTCCAGGCCGGGCGTCGAGGGCGTGAAGCTCCTGTTCCTGGTGGGCGGCTTCGCCGAGTCGCGCCTGCTCCAGCGCGCCGTGCAGGAGGCGTTCGCGCCGGAGTGCCGCGTGATCGTGCCGCACGGAGTGGGCCTCGCCATTCTCAAGGGCGCCGTGCTCTTCGGCCTCGACCCCACGGTGGTGCGGGTTCGACGCTCGGCCGTGGCGTACGGGGTCGGCGTTCTCAACCGGTACGCCGCGAGCGGGGTGGGCCCCGGGGTCCAGGTTCTGGCAAGGCCGTCGCCGATCGAACCGCGGCTCGCGCGACCACAGCTGGAGCGAGCGGAGTGTTTTTTTTCCACGCGTTTTGGAATTTGTTCCGCGGGTTAGAATTTGCTTGGGTCGGTAGAACTTGTAGCGGACACTGGACGATCGGGGCTTCATTTCTCACCGAGTATTTCCCCGGGTTGCTGGGAGACTGGAGTAGGTGGCACGCGACTATTAGTAACCACAGCCATAGCAAGAGGTACACTGGAAGTGGTGTTCTGGGTGCGGAAGTATTTTCTGGACTGATGAGCCCCGGCAGACTCGACTGCGCAGATTGGCCGGTGCTGCTGTGACTTCAAATGTGCATTCACAGCAATCGATGATCGGCTCGGGCATTAAACAGAAGCAAAGCCACAAAATTGCCTGGTTGTCATGTACAGTTGGTGACACCTTGCAACGGCTGACAATAAAATAGGACATCCAAGGTGCGGTTTTCTGGGTTAGGCTGCGGGTTCAGCATTTATTTTCTCAGGCTGTTGCCACACGTCATTACGGGCATCTTCAAAGCACACTTGGATTACAAGCGGCTGCCAAAAGCCCACGCGTGAAAACGGAACATTATTCAGCGCGTGCACCGGAGTCGCCTGTGGGTCAGCAACGTCACGTGAAAAAGATGACTCGGGAATCCTACTTGAAATGCTGTGGGTTGGCTCTCCAACACACCGGTGTGCTGAACTGGTAACTAGTTTGTCACGTTTTGTTTACGTGACAAACATTATTAATTGGCTGTGTTGGGTGGTGGCGGGTTTCACGACGCATTTATGTTTAAGAGATCTAACCCAAAACCCTCTGTTATGGATAATACCGGTCGCAAAAGCCTACGTGTTAAAGCCTACTTGAATGCAATATCCGCGACATGCCGCCGATCAACTGACCAACGATTGTCAGACGCGACTTAATATTTGCAGAAGAGGATTTGTGAAATTACTGTTTAAGTTGCAAGCAATTTAAGTTTGCACGAACATCTCCTTTGTGATCAAATCACCCTGAACGAGCGTAAGAGAAGCAGTGCTGGGTCTGCTGAGTAGTTGGATGGGAGACTGCCTGGGGAAGTCTGGTGATGCAGGATCTGGTTGCGTGTGTGGCCAAGTAGAAGTGCAGTGCAGCAATTGATCCTTGAACCTATCTCTACGCAGGGGTTTCTCGAGCTCGTCCGGTTTCCTTCCACATGTCACTCATTTGTGGAAGTGGCTAAGAGAGTGAGTTTCGAAACCTTTTTTTTTAAAGACCGCTGTGCAAAGCACTTACGTGTCAGGGTTGAAGCTAAACAGGGCCGTGGTAAAAACCCAATGTCACTTTCACTTTAACGACATAATACATTTTGGATTTATAAAACGACTAAATGTAGCCGTAGCTCAGAAAAGCTGTACAGACAAGAAATATGGACGCGTTTATTTTTAGAGAGGGGCAGTCAATCGAACAAACAAGTTAGGTCTCGAGCCTGGTTTAAAACAGGGACAGGGAGTCAACAGCACAAATGTCCGTGGGACGGCAGTGGCAGACAAAAGAGGCAACAGAGGAGAACGAGCGACCTTCCACTGAGCGAAGGTTGTCTGGGAGCTTCGACATAAAGCCTTGGTTGCTGGAGCAGAGAGAGTGCTTGGAGGGAGAGTGGAGCGAGTTGAGAGGAGGGAGGTAAGGATACGGGGTGCATGGAGGCATCTTGAAGACGGAGAGTGCGACCTTGAACTTGACCTGGGTTTGAATTGGGAGGCAGCTGTGGGATTTGAGTATTGTTGCGATGCGGTCTCGATTATGGGTGTAGGTAAGGGGTCTGGCAACGGCGCATGAAGACGTAATAAACAAAAATACTCAGGATGCCGATTACTACATTGAGCATAAATGTAAAATAATCTATTTGTCTCTATCCCCCATACTGCATTGCGGTCAAAGGAAATTGGAATAATTGCAACGTACAATAAATCGGTAAAAAATGCATTTCATTGAGTTGCGATCCATGCTTCCTGTCGTATCAATACGCGCTGCTCCGAGTTGGCGACTGATGATCCGATAATTGACCTCTGAGAGGTTGACTCCGTACAATTTGAAAACATAATTGGGGGAGTGCAGGATTCATTTTAAAACGTAACCCGTTTTGATCCACTCATGATCCCTGCTCAGAGTGACTGTGCAAACGTCCATTTGTCTTTTTGATACAAATCAATACGCAATGCAGCCCAGGGTATGAATCGCCCAGGGGGTTTATTTGCTCAGCTGTTTCCAAGGGGTGCCCGAGCGGAATGAAGAATTGTGATTGTCGGGGACTGTGTGGTGAGCTGGAGTAAACACCAGACTCTTGAGTTTGTGGACAATTTTTTTGTTCGTAAACAAAAGGATGAAGCCACAGGATGTAACGACCGCCTCCCCTTTATTTTAAGCAAGGCCAAACTTGGCAGCATCGCAACCTACGAAACCATCTGCTTGTATTCTGATGGCAATTCATTTCAAATTGTTTCAACCACAGCACCAAGTGGCCATTGCTTTGTTGCATTCTTAGTCACTTTTCCTAAAAAGGCCGGCATGTGGTTTTGGCAAAACTGTTGATCTTTTTTATATTTTTAACCAACACATACAGAAAACAATAATTTACAGCCCTTTGCCAATCCTCAGCTGGTTGAAGGCCTCACCATGCAGTATCGGTCCTGTGGGTTGTTTTCTTCCATACTTCACCACGCTAGTCAGTGCAGCTGAAGTGCTTGGTCAGGACAAATTCAGATATCAATCACAAAGTAATGTATAATGTAATACTAATATACAAAACGTCGGATATATGTATACACATGTTGTAAATCCATTTTTTATTGCTATATAGTTTTCCACTAACGAACGTAAGTATGTATGGTGAACTTCTTTCGCACTGCACGTAGCTAACCGTTGCTAATCGGAGGTGCGGGGGAAGGACAACAACCTAACACAAAAAGCAGAAGCGTTATTGACGAGGTGTGAGATCCCACGAGCTGTTTAATCACAATTCTTTAAATCCTAACCAGATCCAGTTCATAATTGGCCTGTGCCACTGTGCAATTTCTCACTTCTTCCCGCAGTGTTTTCCATAAAACTTCGAACATTGAGCCACGTTATTTAGCTCACTTGCTCTTACACGCACCTGCAATAATATGACTATGTGCCCTCTTCCATGCGCTCACCCACTCTCTTGCACATACAACTACAGCACGTGTACAAACGTACACATTTTATGAATGGAACTACAGTACCATATATATTGTAACCAATACATAAGCCATATAAGGAGTCAGTCAATGACGGCTGGGCTCAGCTGTGTTGATCTGCGATAACCTCTCCATATGGCCTCATCCCAGTTCTCGTTGAAAGTAGCAACGTTGCGCAGAGTCCTTGGCAATTTAATAGATGGGCAAGATCCAAGATAGGCAAAGTTGACTGGTAGGGCAGCAGAGTTGAAAGGGTCGTGGGAGTGGGGGGTGGGAGGTGTGGGCCCATGGTGGAGAGATGTGAACTACCTCGCTTGATATACAGGCGGTTGTGGGTTCGATCTACTGCTGTATATTTGGAGTTTGCGTGTCTCTCTCCCCATTGTATCATGGGTTTTTCCCCGGGTCTTCTGGTTTTTCCCTTCACATTTATAAACATGCGTTTACATTATTTGGCTGCGATACATGTCCACATGTTAAGCCACTTCGTTGAGCTATCATTTGTGCCTGGGTCGCTTCTGAAAACGATCTGTATAAATTTCGATTTAAAGATTTCGTGACGGCAGGGATTAATATTCTTGTTTCTTTCGGTAAAGTCACGTAGAAGGGAAATAATAAAATAAGAAAACATAATAAAACATAATAAAATAAAATTCTCACGAAATTTCGGCCACAACGCAAGCAGCCGTCCTCAGGTGAAGAAACAGAGCGTCCTAATTTAGGATGCGCTGTCTTTCCGACAGCTCTGTTTCTTCACCTGAGGACGGCTGCTTGCGTTGTGGCCGAAACGTCGTGATAATTTAATTTTTATTATTTTATTATTTCCCTTCTACGTGACTTTACCGAAAGAACCAACAATATAAAGATCTGTATAGCTCAGTGAGCTTTACCCGGTCAAATAGAAATGGTTTATTGGTGGATGAGTTAACCCCGGGGCCTCAGATTCGGAAGGGGCCTCAGAGAAGGCCAATTCTGTCAATTCTCACCGGGCCGCCGAAAACCTTTTTTGGCCCTCCTGGTGAGCGCAAAGACTTGACCGGGCCGTTGATTGACGTCCGGCCTATCCGTTGCGCCGTTGCCCCGCAGGTTTGTCGAGAGCAAGCACCCCGAGGAGAAGCTGCTGGTGAAGGACGGCGCCCGCTGGTGCACCGACGTGTTCGACCGCTTCGTGAGCGCCGATCAGTCGGTGTCGCTGGGCGAGACGGTGACGCGCAGCTACACGCCGGCGCGCCTCGCACAGACCAAGATCATCATCAACGTCTACTGCTCGTCCAATGACGAGGTCCCTCCCTCTCTCCAGAACCTGCTCCCTCACTCTTCTCTCTCTCTCGCTACCTCGCTACCTCGCTCTCCCTCGACCTCTTCCCTTTGTCTCTCCTCCTCACCCTCTACCTCTGTCTCCCCCTCTGTCTCAATCTCTCTTACTCTCTTTCTCTGTACCTCACTCTCCCTCGCTTTCTCTTTTTGCCTCTCATCCTCACTCTCTCCCCTTTTTATTAATCCACTGCTGGACGAGGGCCTCGCCACGCCATCGAAGTCAGTGGTTTATTGGACGATACTTCATGCTGGGCCTTCGTGGGTCGGTGAAAGTGGTGAAAGCTCAGACGTGGGAGCATAGCACAGTGCTGCACTGCCCTGTGCTGCCCCACCACGTAGCCCCACAGACCTATGACAACCTGCTTGTGCATGCCGGTCACCCATCCAAGCACTGTCCAGGCTCAAACCTGCTTAGCTCCCGAGAATGGGCACATTCCAGGCGACTGGATCGCGCATTCGACATACTTCCACATCGTCCCGAGTTGTGACGACTTGACAGGTGCACGGTGGATCAGATCAGACATTCATTTTATCCGTCAATGCGCACCAGATGCCATCGAGAGCAATTAATCAGCATTCGCGAGGTTAGTTCACAGGTCTCTTTCACAGTGAATGTGGAGTCGTTAACAGAATTGTCAATAAGGCATTGGATTGCAAAGCTTCAGCGGTTTACACGTCCAGCATTCGTAAACACTGCGATGATCAGACGGCAACATGCATGCGCACGTTTAAGGTTCTCATCACACCATACGTAAAAGGTTCCAGCAAAAAACACGTCGTTCCACCAAGGCACAAACTGGACAATTACTCAAAACTACGAAATATGACCACACTGTCTTGTACACGTGCAGCCCCTTGCATCACTCCCCTGCAGGATGCGTCGCCTCCCCCAGACTGTGCAGGTCAGTGCGGGTTGACTAAAACTAGCAAGACAAAATAGCCGACATTCATCGTCGTTTTCATCAGAAATCGTCAAAGTTCAATGTATAAGCAGTTGAGAACACATTGAGACTGAAGGTCTCCTTTTACGAGACCTTCGGTTAGAATAAGAAACGGAAAGGCAATGTACAAGGCGATGTAAAAAAAAAAATGTGACGCTTTGGAATGTAAATAAGACGAATGCTCTTCACCTCGGAAAACCCCCACGGAGCCTCGGGACTCTTCGTCAGGAGGACCCTCCAGCGTTGGGGTTGTTCCACCGATTCCCGATAATCGAGCTTGGTACTTTGGGAGGAGATCTAGGCACCCAGAGAAAACCCCATACACGAAGCGAGGGGAGGGTCACACTCAACAAAATCTGACAGTTCTCCCAACCGAGTACTAACCAAAGTTAACCCTGCTTAGATTCCCAGATCCGGTCCATTCAGGGGAACTTTAGTAAAAAAAATTAATGCTTGGTTACTTGTTTTATGTGTAAATATATGCAGGTTACGGATTGGAATTGACTGTTAAAGTAAGTGGCCTTGGGCAGGACACGTCATGGCGAGCACAGATGATGGCTGGAGCTCGAGACTAACCGCGGAGTGGCAGGCTGACAGAGGGACCGTGCCCGAGAGAGCACGTCCACCACAGAGGAGCGCCGAAATCAGCTGTTGTGTAGCAGCAAGATCGATTATTGCATTGCGACACCCTGAGAGAAAGGCAACGAGGAGGGGCCCTTTGTCCAGCAGTTGACAGATTATGGGTGATGTTGGCGATCAATTGAAGTTGCACAAACAACTAAATCTCCTTGCTCTCTGTGAGGCAAGCGATCTTGCCAGAATAATAAAAACAAAATTGGGTTCGGTCGTGTCAATGTAAATGTGTTTGTTAACCCGCCACTACCCGACACAGACAATTAGTACGTTTTGTCACGTCAGCTCACGGGTGTGTTGGAGGGTAAACCCACAGCATTTACAATTTGAGTACGACGTTTTAAGACGTTTCTCCGGTGATTACAAACCAGCTTTATCATGCGAATTTTGCCAGAATTGCGTGTCACAAGAACGCGTCGGCTGACGACGACAACGACGGACGGGGGTCGATGACAAAAGCTGAATCGGTGCCCCTCTCCCTCCGCCACACAGGCGCGGTTCATCACGGACGAGGGGGTGCACAAGTGCGGCACGCTGTGCCTCGACCTGGGCGCGGAGAGCGGCACGACGCCGGGCCAGGCCGCCCCCGGCCGCCGCCGAGAGATCCGGACCCACATGCGGTTCGGGGACACCGAGGTGCGCGTCACCGCCGTGGACATGCGCAGCGCCAAGAGCGTCAAGTCCAGCGTCGACTTCCTCAGCGTCTGAGGGCAGCAGCTCCCCCTCCCCCACCACCACCACCAACGCGTTTGGGGCCGAGGCGAGGCCCAAACGGGGGGGGAGGTCGTGGGCCGTGGATGCGCGGCACGCGGTTTCAAGGAAGACGGTGACCCAAACAAGGCGCGGGGGGGGGGACGTGGGGGGGAGAATCGCGCACGCACGCACGGATTGTGTCGCGGCTCTCCGGCACGCGCGCGTGTGATGTCGTAGGAGGTGTTTCGTTAGCAGCGTAGAAGCCGACGGGAAGCTTAGCCGTCAGGGCAAAATGCGAGTGTGTATTTGCAGAAAGTCGGGGGTTTTTTTTCTTCTTCCACGGATTGCGTCTTCAAGCTTTGGGGCAACCGTAGGATTAATTTGGCTGGTTTTCGATAGGGTAAATGCCTAATAGCAACGTAAGTTTATACTACGGTTTTGTTTATACTGGATCGTCTTTATGAGAGTTATCGTGTCCCCCTGTTGCGGATGAATGGACAGGTAGATTGAACGCATAAACACTTTCAAGGGTAGTTGGAAAGCGTTAAAAAGAAGATATTGTTTCTCAACTTGTAGATACATAGGCTGTGTGATCTCAGGCTGTCTCACATGAGCCTGCAGCTCTGGTAGTGAATACAATACTTTTACAATACAATACTTTACTTTTAATACTTTTAAGTATTTCATTTGTTTTTAGGGAAGTGGCATCATTAGAATGCCATAGTAGCGAGCTTGACAGTACATTTAAAATATTCTTATAAACTACGTTTCTCTTAAAGCTATTTGTTGAGTATGTGTTGTGTCTTCTTTAAACGCAAGTGCTGTATGTATCAAGGGCTTTTTCATTTAACAGTATACAAAAAATATATATATCAAGTAACACACTGGTATAAAACAGCCATGATCAGACGTGGCTCAAGATTGTTCTTTATAAATAACAATGTATCGTCGGAAGGGGTGGAGCAGTGGGCGCAGTGGTTTTGCGCACAGACTATGAACCGGGAGAGCTGAGTTCGATTCCCAGCCAAGACTGACATCAGCAACGAGTGAAATCTGAACCAGACCTGAACCTAGACCTGGACATCCAAGTCTGGTCAAACAACCCCCGTGACCAAAAGCTTGTGGCTGCCTTGGTCCAACAGCGGTGTGACAAAGGGCTGTATATCATTTGAGGAATTAATTACAAAACGAAACGAACGCTTAATTAAAACCAGACATTAGTTTCAGCCGGGATAGTATCCGAGTTTTTCCCATGCAATGCCTGATCATTCTATATCATGCCTTGTGTGGGAAGTTTCCTGCAATAGATGATGGTTCTATAAGTTTGAATTTAATTGCCCATTGTCAAGACGATCAATCGTTGCTCTAAGCAGACTGTTGCCAATTAAAAATGTGGCCAATAGCAATAAGCGTGGACAATGTTGGCACAGCGTTCAAAGCAAGGCCATTGTTTGCTAAAACTGTAGGGCTTGAACTGGCACGATGAAGATGGAGTATGGGAATGCCTTGCTCCATTTTAAAGCGATCACAGATTCATTTCGGGTAGACGTTAGCAAGCAAGGGCGGTGGTGCAGGAGTGGCGGCGGCAGCGGTTGAAGCACAGCGCTGCCAACTCGGAGACCCGAGTCCGATATCTGAACACCTGCGCTGACCATCAACTAACCCCGATACACAAACAAGGCGACGGGAAGCCTTCGTTCAGCATTGGAGATTGACAAATTGGCTGCACACGATTATTTTAGCAAGGGCTAAAGGGAGGGGGGATGGGGGGTGGGGGGTGGGGGGGGGCGAGTCGCACAGCTTGAAAAAAACGAGACGATGAGAAGGCGCAGGCAAGAGCCATCTGCCGTAACCGCAGCGATATTGATCACACAACACCTTGGTTGTGAAGGAACCTCGTGAGACGTGACTGATGAGCCAAGTGCTTGCTCTGGGAGGCTGCAGAGGTGTGATTTGACGTCGCGCGATTTCCCCCAGTTGTGCTTAGCCACTTGACACCGTGTAATTGTGGCAAGCCACTCCACCACACCCCCACCCCCTTCTCACCCCAGACTCAATAATTCTGCACGCAACCTCATTTTACAAAAACCTCATCGGCACACGACAATGCCACTGTGCCATCGTAGCCACTCGGCCTCACAAACGTCTTCTTTGCCACGTCAAGGCTGTGACCCCAGTGACCGTCCATAAAAGACGTCACGCATCTGGGGGGGGGGGGGGGGGGTCAGACATTTGTGACGCCGTGTGACGAGGGGAGGGGGGTCAAAAATCGTCCAAAATCGTGTGACGTCATTTATGGACGGCCCCTAAATGTAATAGTGCCGTCTGTATAGCGCCATTGATCAAAGTGTAAAGTTTATCTATTTTTATACGTTTCAAATGCTAACTCTAACATTGTATCAAAACATTGCATATACGTTGACTAGATATTTTAACGAGCTACGCCTTGTATTTTATGTAGACAAGTTGGCGGTAATTTGAAAAAAATGAGCATTAGTGTTTATATGTTTTTATATTATTTTGTGTAGCAATTGAAACAATAGAAATTAAAAAAATATTGACATTTGAAACCTGCTGTCCTAATGAAGTGTTCGTTTATTACACACAACTGTCTCTTACTGAGATAACACACTTTCTCTTTTAAGGCCACAGTATCATTTCTAGAATATGTTAAGGCGTTTAAATTATTTGTGATTGGGCACTACTGCCAATGCAGTATCACCAAATAACATTACAGTAAAACCTTGGATTGCGAGTAACTTGGTCTGCGAGTGTTTTTCAAGACGAGCAAAAAATGTAAATAAGTATTAATTTGATAAACGAGCGAGGTCTTGCAATACGAGTAGTGTACGTATAGACGCTTTGTCTGCCGAGCGTCACGTGATCACAACTGATATACGAGTGCTTTAGATTACAAACACGTTTCCGGAACGAATTATGCTCGCAATCCAAGGTTTTACTGTACTTGAATTAGTCTCCACATATATTATTGACACTGATGTATGAGAGTATGCAAATCAAAGGATACATAATTCATTCATTATTAATCACAACATTTTTGTCTGGATAACACCTTCAGATGGAACATTACATTTGCAAAGGGGGTACAGGGTGAAAAAATATATACAAACCGGTATAAACATTACAAAATAACCGACCAAGTAAACGAACCACATTCTCATTAATGTGACATCAACTGCAACTACAAGTTGATGTACATTTGCTTTAGGCGTGAGGAAAAAAAGTAACATTTTAAATCTCTTGACAACCAAACTCCCCAGGTAGTTCTAGCAATCGTCAAATATCAAGACTGTGAGCAAGTACTTTCCTCCAGATCGTTCATCATTGCCTTTAATGCAAGTCTAGGTATACGTGTACGGCTACACACCTGGAGAGTTGTGCAATAGCAATTAGAATTGCAATGCATCAGGAAAAGAAAACACTGTAATAATGTGGTAAAGCTCGCACGTTTGCGATATGCCTTTTGATTAAAACCCCACTGCATGTGACCGCTCTTAAAAAAAAAACCCCTATAAAATCACAATCTCCACAAATAAATAGCACGCAGGCAGCTGGCCGGCTTTGTTTTGTGTTGCATGTGTAGTGTTGTAAGGACGAGCAGACTTCTTAGGAGGCACACTGTTTATTGTATTATTTCCTTATACGATGCTTAACACACAGAGGGATATACGGTCCCCTCACCCGATACCCTAGGGAGGTACAGCCTCCGGACTTGGCGGGACTCACACATCTACCGCTAACCTCCTTGATACCTAAGGAGGTACAGCCTTCGGACTTGGCGGGACTCACACGTCTACCGCTATCCTAGTCCTCCGGCTAGGACCTAGGGGAGGCTATCTGACCCACCACTGGCCCGGTGGGTCCTGACCACTGGGTATGCCGAGCCTTAGCCCTTAGAAGGACTGGAAGACTGGTCCAGGGTCCTAGCTTGGCTTCAGCCCAGTCTTCTGTCTTCGTGTAGGGAGAGAACTCCCCGAGGTCCGTTGGGTCACCCGTCTTATACTCCTTCGTGGCCAGGCAGAACCAATCATACATTCCCACGTGGAACCGTCTGATTGGTTCGTACCAAACCCTGGCTACGATCCGTTTCACCTCGACTGACACCAACCATTGTACCCAGGGGTAATGCTGCACTGCCCTGGTGGCAATGCAGGTTACGCAACAGCGCGTAGTTAACACCTCTACACATGCGCCACCGACTGAGTTGCACAGCGAGCGATGCAGTGATACAGGCCAGGAGAGAGGAGTCGCCCCCACAAGCATTCGAAGAATGATCATGAAATCCGGTCACAATTAAAAAAAAAGTTGCCGATATTTATTTTTTTACCATACTTCACCAAAGCCTGCCAGTGTGGGTTTGGCGAAAGCTGGGAAGCAATAGTTACGAGCACATGATGCAAATGATTTTGATAAAAATGCCCTCTGCTGACAATGTAGCACATTGCATATAACTGACATTCTAAACAATCGATATCGTGTACGATTCAACACGCGTCTCGTAAGCGAAACACAGCACAATTCCAATAACCTGCGCTGATGTGGGGGGGGGGGGGGGGGCTACGCATCCTGTCATGTGCGGAGCATCGCAGAGGTTTGTTCTCAAATCCGTGAAAACATTTTTCGGTGGCATGGGTGTGTCGTGGATTATACAAGGATTTAATCGCGAAATTCCATATTCACAAAACATCTGCAGGTTAGTTGAACACGTAGGCTTTCGCGACCAATATCAAGAGGTTTTTTTTGGGTTAGATGGTGTAAATATCTAAATGTCGTTAAAACCCGCCACCACCCGACACAGCCAACTAGTAAGGGTTGTCACGTAAACAGAACGTGGCCAATTCGTCACTAGTACAACAACACCGGTGTGTTGGAGAGCCAAGCCACAACATTTACAATCTGAGTACAACGCTTTGCCAGTAATTACAACCAGCTTCATCAGGCAACGGCCAGATTTGTGGAGAAGTCGAACTGTTTCGTTCCTTATATCGAGGTGTAGATGTGGTGACCACATCTGCGCTGGATTAGAGTAAGGGTTAGAGTGCAAGCGTGACACTTGATTAGCAAAATAAATCCGCAATAATCTGGTGGATAAGGTTGCGTTTTTACATGAAAAAAATTGCACAAATTTCCAATACGAGTCCATGTTTGAGTTTTTTCTAATTTCTTAGGCTTGATATCCACGTCTAAATATGCAAAGTTGTGTTCCACTAAACCAGGGGTCGGCAACAAAAATAACGAGCATTTTTTTTCCTTCAAATTCAGTAAAAACTCAACATTTCAGGTGCCGCAATTCACGTGAATGACATCGCGAAGCAGTCCTTAAAGAGCTGCGTACGGCTCCGGCGACGCAGGCTGCCGACCTCTGTTCCAAACAAACCACGTCAGGCCCACCCGACTTCTACTGATCGTGCTTTTGGAGCTCCATGGAAGCGTTTGCAACCTGTCGCGGGTGACAAGACGCGGTCGCGAACTGCCAATAATAATCCGCAAATTACAGGCATTCACCGATCATATTGGATCGTTGGTTATAATTGTTGGCCTTCTGCTGTAAACTACTTCATGAAATGATTCGATACATTCTCACATAAAGCGAGCGATGATGAAAACACATTCCACTCGAGGAAGAAGGCACCGCCAGACGAGAGCTTTTTTTAAAGTCAGGACATTTATTAGCGGTAACATTCAGCAAAACGAGTGGACGAATTCTTACAGCACGTGACCGCAGCCCAATTACCACACAACCAGCGCGTGCGCTGATCCTCGACTACGCAAGCGGTTTGTTGCAGCCAACAAACAAAGCGGGCAGCCAAGTATACCTTCACGGGGTTGCAAAATTGGAACCACAATGTGCCGTTAACTGAAAGGGTTGAACTCTAGCCAGACCTGCTACGCCAGTGAAACGGCAATTTTTGAGTTGACAGGAATGCAAATTTTATCTAAATGCATCTTCACCCACATAGCAACATTTGTTGTAACCCTGAGGAATAGCAATCGGACGTACAACAAGAATATATATTTTTTAAAGACAATAAGATCGTATAGATGGACAGCAAACAGACTACTTTAAGGCAATTGACTTTCAGCAGTGCAATGCAATTCATTTGGCCTAAATACACAAAACAAGGTTGTGTATGCAATTATAAAGCTTTGGACCTTTTGGATCAAATCCTTGCTGGCTAATTATTTGAATGCACAAGGTCGCTGAGCTACTCTTTAAAGCCAACAGTGATGGTCGAGGTTTTTTTCTTTGAAGAAGTCAAAGAGCATGCCATTTGCCTTGTCATCTGAAAGACGTACCCATGCATGTATGTTGAACTTCTTTAGGTGCGGGATGTGGCATCGCGACTTATATCAAACATTATCCACATGGGGGGGGGGAACTCAATTCAATGTGCATGCACGCACTGCTCAAATAGAACGGTTGCGACAAATATTTATTTCTTTAAAATAGCAAAAAAAATGTACGACAGAAATGAATTAATGAAATTGGTTAATTCAAGGCATTTTGAGAGGATGGTTTAGAGTCTCCTGTGCCCAGTGTTCTACAGCCAAATAGGCCATCTTGGAACAGATAAAAACACTATTTATTGGAAAGTGCGATGAATAATATATATCATAAAATAAATTTTCATGGCAGTAAAAACAGAAACAACTTATACATGCCGCACAAATTAGTAGCTAACAACGTTCCTCAAGAGGATAGGACCCGTGTGTAAACTGGTAAGTGGCACCTTCAACTTTACTCCAACAATAAGTCGCCAACTTTCACCAAGTAAAACGGACGCACGTTCAAAACAACACCAATTCTCACCCCACCAGCAGGTGGAAATGTCATGTCTTGATTTGTGACGTAATATTCAATTGGACCAATGAGCAGACTAAACATTGTTCCGAGGCAAGTTATTTTTTTAAGAGAGCAGACCAGGGGAAGGCCAACTCAAGAACGGCAGCTGGCTCAAATGTTTTATTTTTAAACAATTAAGTAGTGCCACACATTCAGAGTTACAATAATTTGAAAATGGCCAGGACATGTAGACTGTAATATTTCTGCTAAATGTTAATATGAATTAAATGTCCCCGTTTATTGTTAAACGTAAAAAAAACTATTAACATCACCCACCCATGTGTTAGTGATACGACCTAATTAGGTCAACGCTTGCTGTAACGAGCTCTAAACAAAAAACAGATGCGGTTTTTAAAAGAAGCGCTGGCGACCTGCTTTGACAAGAAGATGAGACTGATGGTTCAGCGTTGAAACAAGCTGCGACAGTGCTAGGTGGTAGAACACCCCAGACGCACACCACCTGCCGCTTTGCATCTCTTTCCCCCCAACCCCCTGAAAACTCCCTCCAGCTGCTCTCTCCCAGCAACCCCGAGACCCAGCAATCCCCCTCGCGAGGTGCCACTCAGTCAAAGCCGTGCCAGTCACTTTGCTCCGAGTCGTACTCGGCCTCCATGCCCACGCATTTGACTCCTTCCAGCAGCATGGGGGTGCCCTGGTGGCGCCCTGCAAAGCACCGACGTCAAAAACACACAGACAGCACGACATGAGCCACGCACAAGCACAGGTAACAAACGAGGATTGCCCCCCCCCCCATCCCCTTTAATCCGCTGCTGCACACTTTGTGGCTCGTTAAATCCAGCCGCTTCGAAAGGCAGGCAACAAAGCGTGCTACATATACGCTGTTAAGTATTGCTGTGAAAAGAAATATCGGTAAAGTATAGTTTGGCCACATGCTGCACGAGGCCACCACCGCTTACATAAAGATTCTGAAAATCATCGCTGCGATGAAAGAAAATTGTGCAGGTCGCGGCTGCGCTAGGCAGACCCCACCTCTCCAGGGTCCGCCACCAAGGGACTCCCACAGGGACGTGGGGACACGCAGAAAAAACTGAACACAGACTCGAGCGTCGTGTGCGGATTAAGGTAAACGGAGGTGTGCGCGTCTCCTTACAAAAGGTCTTACACAAGAACATTTCACAATCAAAAACAAGTCTGTGTACTGGCAGTAACAAGCTTACACAAGTACAACCCATATTTGATACGTATGAACTACGTACATCTATTTTGTATTTTGCCAATCCGCTATTGGATGAGGGACTCCCTACACTGTGCAGGATGTAAGGGTTATTTGACCATACTTCACTATGCTGGTCAGTGCGGGTTGGTAAATAGTACAGTATAGCAATGTATTGTTCTGCACTGGTCTTTGCTGCCTACCCTGTAGCTTACCCACAGACGAATGCACCTCTGAATGGCTTGCATCGACTTATGTTACAATAAAAAGAATCAATTCACATACAATTACTCTATTTACAAAATACAGAGTTCAAGTTGATATGTACTTTTAGCTTGGTGACAATAAGCTGTCAATTAACACGAAATTTATTTGGATTCATAAACGTTATTTCACACTTCAGACCCGCACACGAGGGCATGCCGGCGAGCCACCATGCAAGCCAGGCCAGTCGCACAGACTTTGAAGTCTCGCCGAATGACCTTTGTAAGTGGGACTGATATTTAATGAAAGTCACACTGCACACAAAGTCGATCATTGAAAGGGAAACCAGAGGTGAGGGAAAGGTTCAAGCACGTTTTTTTTCAAGTGTTTAATCTTTCTGCCGTTAACTGATAAGCTAAAGCAGACACGTTTTTTTTCCTTATTTTTTTTTGCGGGTCCCATCCTTTCGTGAAAGAGCATGGGCCCAGTGCTGCGCAGCAGTCACCAAAAGCAAGGAAAATGCTCTCAACAACTGAAGGATGATTATCCGAATCAGACAATCATGTATTGGCAGCTCAGAGGTATTGGCTCTTTTTCAGACGTGAACCTTGCCATCAGGGGCGGAGCCAGGGGGGGTGACAGGGGTGACATTCTGCGTATAAGTGTACGACACTCGGTCTGGCGGACTCCGTACAACTGCATTGTGAGAGTGTGTCGCCAACCGATGGCGTCTAGTTCAACAGCCTGACTCTCTAATCATTCTTGAAATTAAAATTTGTTGAATGTCACCCCGGCCTGAAATCCTGGCTCCGCCCGTTTGCAATCCATAATAGCGCATCGAAGTGGCTTACATCACACGTGGGAATTTATAGCGGCGGCCCAATAATCTAAATGCATGTTTCATGAATGTGGAGGGCGAAACGGGAGGACGTGGAGGAAAACCCACGTGATGACGGGGAGAGAGATCATGTGAACTCCAAAAATATAGGCGTCAGAATCGGGATGGGACCCACAACTTCCTGCGTAGTACGCAAGGGAGATAACGTCTTACCACCGTGGCACCCCATCGAATTCACAACACATCGTGGAATTCACCAGTATGGGTTCATGCAAACCTGACTGCTGCTGGGGCACTGATCATCAAACACCGGTCCAATGTTTTCTTGTATTGAACCAAAGCTGCTGATCAGATGCACTCCCAGAATGCCATGCTGCCGATGGGTTGTTTAAAAAAAATGTTTATGTGCAGACACAAATATGGGAAGGTTTTTGTTTTGTAATTCATGATACGAGTTCATCACCTTGCTAACACCCATCCTCCATTCATAACAGCCCCAGAACGGGCCTTAGTTAATCATAAAGCATAAAAGATTTTGTATTGTACGATGGCTATGACCATATTGAGACTAGAGCCATCTGGTATGCTTATGCTTCCTACGAAAGTTACATGGATTGAATATATACAAATGAGAATGTCAATACTGTAATTGTACTGTTCTAGATAAAAAATGTAACACGATCTTTTTAAAATCCACCAATGTGATAATCGTTTTAAATTAATCCAGATGTACCTGTGTTTCACTTGATGGGTGGCCTTAAAACACATTCCTGCGGAGGGAGCTGGTAGGAACGTTGGGTTGCTCGGTCAATGGACAGGGTCAACGGCGGCACCACGTGGTGTATTCCACAAATATGCCCGACTGTGAGGGCTGGCACAAGCCGGCGTGAGTAGGTTAAACGTTGAGTTTTATAAGGGCACCACGGGGTGACCAGCCCCTCCCCACCCAGCCCCACCCCTCCCACCCCCCACCCAGCCCCACCCTCCGCACCCAGCTCCTCCCCACCCTCCCCTCTCCACCCAGCCCCACCCCTCCCATTTTTGGATGCACGATGGACGGACGGACACAATAATCCCCTGTGGGCTGGTGTAACCAGGAGGTTCCTACCAGTATGAGTGTCTGGAGCAATATGTAAAGAACGCAAATAGGCAGACAAAGACGGCCGGGTGTGGTGCTGGTCACCCACCCCCCCGTGTGCCGTGCCACTTATGGCACTTGCCCCAAAAGTCTGTTGAGGCTGTAGAGGGGATCTTTGTCTTTGTCCTTCAATAACTTCATAACCCACAAAATCTCATTGTCAAAAAGTAGAGCTTATTAAGTGGATGGAAAAAGTGAATTAATAAGTTAATTGTGTAGCCATCTGCCGGGGAGATGATACAATTGAAGCTATCAAGTGGACTGTAATGAGCTCCTAACAAGCTAACATTGGGTATCTGAAGCAAAAAAAAATCTGAAAAAATATAAATGTGAATTATCAGGTTTTTCCAGGACACCCTTCAATTAGACTACACAGATGGCAACGCTCGTGGGCGAGTGTTATCGGGACGTGTCTGGACGTGCATGTGTGAACCTCGACCATAGGACACAGTGCGCAAGTGAGTGTGCGTGTGCGTGCGTCACGGTCGTGGAGCGGTTCGCGAGTTGCGCCACGAATCCGCTGACCCGGGTTCGATTCCCGCTCACGGCCAACACCAGTGACGAAAATCTGTACTCGTCCTGGGCCTCCCCTAGGTCGACTCAGCCTCAAATTAGTACCTGGTGTGGTGTGTAAACAACGCCACTGGGAAGACAAAGGCAGCCGGACTTGATGCTGGCCACCCACCCCCTCATGCGCCGTGAAGACCTTCATAGGTACTCGTTAACAGCAATTGCCCCAACGGTCTGTTCAGGGGGGCGGGCGGGGGGGGGGTGGTCTCTTTGTTCTATGATTAACTTACACAAGCGTCATTCGCTTGCACCCAAGCACAGGCGTCTGTCCAAGTGCGTGCATCTCAACAGTTGCGTCTACGTGTCTCGTTTTGGGTTTGTGTTTTCCGATGTGTTTGCAGTGCGCGTGGGTGTGTCTGCACGTACGCATGGTTAATTCGTAGCGGGCTATGTTAGAGAGTGGGTGGTATTCGGGAGGACCTTGGGGCATTGTCAATAATGTTGTTCTAACTATACAAACCTTCTTCATCATCATTATCTCTCCCTTGACCGCAGTGGTCGTGGGGGCACCCCCACTCACGCCTCAGCTGTCAAACCTTTCCACTTTTGCCCGTCCCTGTGCAATCTCTGTCGAGTGTCGTGTCTGCTTATAATCACGATACAATACCAACAATACGAGCTATATTATTTGCACGGGTTTATTATGAAAAGCACACATTATTTGTTCAGCTTAAGCTCACACGATTAAAAAGCATGGGTTGCACGTACAGAATGCGATGGGTAGGTCTCTTCGGCCGTTCAAAATTCGTTTTTATAGCAAGGTTTAAATTGTGCATGCATAATGAAATCTTAAGTGCTACTCCAATAAAGCATTAAAAATTCCAAGCCTACAGCTATCCAAAGAGGGCAAATACCTGCCCTTACAACCACCTACATGCAGCTGTTTGTTTAAAGTGCCATAATGCTCAGGACAAGCTGGTTTAGTGTGTATTTATGAAAACCTTTGGCAAACAAAATAACAAATACCAAGAGGAGTAAAAGCAGAATTTCTGAAAATGTTACCTACAATGCATTACAGATGTCCTGCTACTTTCTTTCCAAAGCACACATTCTTGGCTAAGTTATTCATTAAAAAAATAATCAGTTTGGGGCAAGTGCTAACCTTCACTGATCTGCACTGACCAACGTGGTGAAGTATGGTCAAGCAACCTATAGCTCTCCAAAATCAACACCAAATTATCACGTATAAACTCGGCAGCGTCACCGCCTAATGAGAAGCAAGTTGTTTCATTAATATTTACAAATGCAGCTGATCTTCAACAATAGCCATGAACCATCCACTGTTGGATGGTGGTCTCGCTAAGCCGTCACCATTTCTCAGTCATTGCGGTGCAACAATAAATGTACTAACTGCACACAAGCTGATCTCATATCTCCATATCTGCGGTGGAGTGTTCCCTTCTTTGACTTCCACTCAGTCGTTCGTTTTGACCATTAACAGTCATCCCCTTCGAGCGACATGTCCGGCCTAAGCATATTTGCTTTCTTCACAGTCAATGGGTCTCCATATATGTTCTCCAAGTCACGTGTTCTCCCTTCTGTCTCTCAGTGTAAATCCAAGCACGCATCACGCTTTGTTTGTTTGCGCAACATTTCAGCCTGTGCTCCAATTTCATTGTCTATGGCCCACGTGATATCGTAAGTAACATGCGGTTGGGAAAACTGAACTTCATGATGAAAAGCAGAATACCAATGTGCCACCCGATATGCCAAATTAAATCAAAATAACTACCAATGTG